CATCTTAGATTTATGCAATAAAGTTGTTGTTTCAAATTTCAGTCAGGATGAAGGGGTAAATCCTACCCGAGACCCTGCTTGAGATACGTAACAACTCGATCAAATTTTAACTACAAAGTAAACCCTTGGTGTTTGGAGATAAGGCTCTGGTCCTATATTAACTTTAACAGGCATGAATTTTCGGTTTATCTGTGTGAAAGCAATTTTCCAAATTTTTTTTGTCCCAAATCATTTTTCCAAATGAAATAAAGAGGGGTCAAAAATTGAAAACTTTCCTCGAATTTTATACTGATATATGCAAGTATTCAAATGGCACTCATTTTCTATTTCGTTTCATACTTTTTTCCAAGGCCAATCTAGAAATAAACAAGGAAGGTCTTATAGCGGACCTTGGATGTATGTTAAATGAGGCATCGGGGGCATTTAGAAGGGAGATGGAAAGCTTCTTTATTTCTGGTGCAGCAAGGATTGACCTCATAGCCAAAGTTATCGACCTGGACAATGCTATTGGAGGATACAATTTTGATATTCAAAATTTAGAGGCAACGTCTAATGAACTAGCAAGTCTTCGTAGTGCTGGCGGTAAGATTTTTTGCCTTGTAAAGAAAACCTCTAATAATGAATGTTAACGGTGGTTAGCGTTGAAGACGTGCTCTGATTGGCAACTCAAACTCCGAGTATCCTTAGCTATTTGCTTTCGACCAACTCGCGCGGGATTTGAAACCAAGGATTTTTTAATTGTTGCAGGAATAAATGAGCTAAATGATCTTTTTGTGCTATACCATCTCATTTGTTTAGTTTATACTAAAAAAAATATTCATCTTAGTGTTTGTGGCTAGAGGTAGACATTTACCTATCCGCCTCGTGACGATAAATATCTTCTATCAGCCACTTCCGCTACGGAGAATGGCTGTTTTGCGTTTTACCCCAAAATTGCTGTCTTTAACTTTGAACTTAAAATCAATTTTCACGCAAGTATATTAAATAAAATGCATTATGAACCTGTACATTAATCATGGGATGAGACTATTCCCACTTTCCAGCCCGAGCCTACGATACTGTAACCCTCAGCGGTTGGATTATTTTGGGCTTCACATCTAATATAACTCATTCGCTGGAGCCATTTGTTTATCCCAGGTGTGCATCTACTTTAAACTGTTCATAATCTTCACGTTAATTATCATCACCTTCGATTTACTCATTCAGACTCACCTATCGCTGAAAATGTACAGCAGATTTTTCTTGACGATCTCCTGACTTCCTATCAGCAAATGGAAACCAGTTTCACCAAGAATCTCATCCAGTTATACAAAGGCTTCGAGTTCCGCACACTCTGGAATGTAGATGGCACCCTAAAAAATCACCAACGACTCGCAGTTGGGGCTGCTCCCGGCACTGGACAACTGCGAGGAGTTTTGGAGTTGAACAAGGCCTTGACAGCGTTCAATTCTGTTCTTATGCAAGGACAGCAATGCTTTTCACAGTTCATTCACCAAACCAGCACTCACAAATGGTCTTTTAACAGTACCACACACCCTTTAGTAAGTATTGGCATGCTGCTAACGACGTAGGCTTAAAAGAAGGGGAGATAACTTTATATAGCATGTGGTGCCCAGGCGAGCCCACCGTTTCAAATGAAGCTTTGTTGCCATAACACCACATGATGTGTAGATCGGCAAGTGAGGCACATGATGGCTATATAGCCAACGGATGCTGACTGACGACAATGATGAAGATGAGTTTAATCTATTATCAGAACAAAAGAAAGCATAGCCTAAAAGCTATGCACTTCTCACACTGAGTCATTTGTACCCTTTTGACGGACAAGACATTCAATTACTACACTTCAGTGTGCAATCCTCCCTCAAGATGTCTCCAGATTTTTGCACCTGGTTTATCAAGCACTTTGCTTAATGCTAATGAGAACCTAGTGACTCTTGTCTTTGTTTCCTCTCTAGTTATTTAGTGACTTGCACAATGGCAAAGCGATGTTTGATTTATCTATAGACGACAGTTGTAGCGATTGCTATAATATACGCTTACTAAAGGTAAGTGGTAAGTGTATTGATCAAACGATATGAATTCCCAAGCTAAGTTTAGTCGCTGTTTTTGACGGCCAAATTTATCAATTCATCTATCCATGCTTCCGCCTGTAATCTAGTTGTTCTTCAAATAATTTATTTTGGGAAGGTTCCTTTGACTTCTGTTTTACTATATCCATACTTGTCTACCTACATCTCTTTATCAGTTTGTGTCTGGCTGCTTATTGGCCTTACTGTTCAGTTGCCCGACGACCTTACTCTCTGACTTAAGGCCCATTTATATGGTCTCGGGTACCTAAAACAACCCCCATCCCTCCTTCGAGTTACCCTGGCTGAGCGACCTTTTCGCTTATTTCTTTGGAAAAATTCAATCAACCGTTTACATATAAATGGTAAACTCTTCACGGGGGGCAAGACAACTCTGGGGGGGCGGGTCTTCTCGCCTTGGTAATCCTCTCAGGCGGGACGACTTATGTCATACTGAAACACTTCAGATCGCCTGCCTGAGACGAGAAGGCTCAAATTATTTCCAGAACCTGTGTTTTTCGGTGAGTAAAGAGGATGATGAGGGGACAGTTGCTACAACTCACATTTCCGTATGAACGCTTTCTAAAGTTATTTCGAGGCAAGGGTTACCTCGGGTCAATTTAAGCCATAAAAATGGAGTCTTACACAGTTCATATTCTCACTTCTGACCGTCCGATTTTCTAACTATGTGACTTGCTGTTTCAAAAGTTTCTTACTGTTTAACCATCTGATTGTCTGACTATTAACTCACTGACTATAAACTGTCTGTCTGTCCATCTGTATTTTTTATATTGAGATTACTTGTTTTAATTTTCCATTTTAGATGTATATTGAGCTCTACGGGAACGGATCTCAAACCGAAAACAACCTCCCGGATAGAGTTTACCTTGGGTTAAAACATTCGACAGGATCGTACTTTAGAGATGGAAATGGAGCAGTGAGGGAATTCCGACAGCCATTGGCATTACAGTACAGAACGTTCGAGTTCAACCGCTTTGCAATAACTGATAGATCTAGATGTGCAGAAGCCCAATTGGCCGGAAATGGTGGGCATTTTTGTCATACTTGGTCGTTTATATCCAGTCTATTGGAAAATTAAGGTCTTGTTTAATGCACCATTGAAAAGATCGAAGAGCTGTTGAGTTTAAATAAACATCATTCAATAATGATAAACCGAGCAATCAGCACGCAAACGTATACTTTAACGGTTCCTCTGATGGTTAACGGACCTAACAACGTTAAGGATCCTTGGAGCCAGTTTCCAGTGGTTAAATGTGGCCTAACTTAGAAGTTCCTTGGTGCTTAGTTAAAGAGCATTTAACAGCCAAATTTGTCTTTGAGTTTCTCTCATTTTAGTCATCACCAACAGTACACATAGGTATAAAATGCTGTGTTTTACCTCCGGTAATTCTGGGGCCAACACGAATGAAGAGTTTAGAGTCAGACACAAAAACCGTTCGACTTCGATAAGATTTTAGCCAACACATCAAAGATTGAATAACAATTTAAATTACTCTCAATTTCTGTTTCATTGATTTGCGATATTGAACGTTGTAAAACATGCAGTTATTAATCCTTTACACCCTAACGTCAGTATGCATATCCCCCATAATGTTTTATAAAAATGTTTTTTAACAAACAAGAGCTTCTTCAGTTAGTGAAAATTTCCTCTGATTCTCGTGACCTTTGTGATATAGGGGTGATATTGTAAAAAGGAATCAGATGCCAATCATTCTTAGGGGTTAACGGTTAATAATACCTTCATGACTGTGATCTTCCAGGGGATTCTTCTTTCTGTTTGGGAGAAGACGACGTACGTTTGGTACCAATGTGTTGCCATTACCTCAGCGGTGACTCGTGTGACGACGCACTCAGCGGAGGAAATGAGTGCCAGAGTCCATTTGGAACTTACGAATTGACCATGCCAAAAGACGATCAACTTATTTGTTCGACGGAAAGTACACAAATAACGAACAAAAACTGCAAAGATTTTGATGTGAGTCTCCGCATATTAACCTATTTAGTCATAATTCTTCTCTTTAACTTTTTCATGAATGGATTTTTCCTTCTTTCTTGTGGTTTGCGCTGGATGAAGTTTCGTCTTTAGGGAGACGTTTGACAAACGATGATAAGTTATTGCTTAACACTCATCCAATAATTAACCTGGCCTCCCAGTAATTGCAAAGCTAGGACCAGAAGACGTCGATTAAAAAATGAGTTTATATGATTGCACGTATGGCTTCCTTATGATAAGTTGTCATTGTGGTTTCCATGCTCATACCACGCAAATTTTTTCGCGATATCACGTTGTTGTTTAACAGAGGACGGAAAAGAAATGTACAAAAGTTTGACACGCACGTGCTGAGCTATTGTTCTGCCCATTAGATCTTTTGTTTTGCCACATTCTTGCTGCTGTCGTCGCGGTGATTTGTGTAAGGTTTCCAATAATAACAAAGAAAAAGAGCTCAAGATATATGAAAAAATAATTATATAGAGAGCAGAGTGAAATCTCTTTGAAATGAGACTTAAATTAGCTGACGTAGGAATCAAGTACAATGTAGAACACACGAGGCATCTGATTTTCATAGTTTTATTATTTTTTGTCTTTGACAGCGTACCATTTATACCCATATGAACATTTGGGTACTCAATCTGCTTTGGACCGATCAGTATCCCAAAGCACCAGACGATTCTAGATGTGGCCATTCTGCTCTTACGAAGTCTGCCGTGAGGCGCCCCCGGGAAGGCAAAGTTTTAAAAAAGTTTAAGACATAACATAAACACGATGAATTCGAATATGAATTAAACCGAGAAAAACGGAATGATTAAATGACACAATGACAAGTAGATGAATAAAATAGAAAATACACTGTATGATCTTACGCTAATTTGAAGTTGAAGTTGTTTAGAGTAGTTCTTTTGTTTCTTTTTTAAGTCACTATTTAAACCTACCACAAGATACTTAAATGGTACTTTCGTTCATTTTCGTTGAAATTAAGCGCCGAAAACTGTGGCACTGGTTCATGTGTTAAACTCAAAGTGTGTCCGCTCTAATTAGGAAATCTTGATCCTAATCACTCGAACAGTAATTTTAGTACCCACTTCGTTCTTGTGAGCTCGTGAAAAAATTGAAATTTCGATACTTTGGATCAGCCAAAACTAGTCATTCATTAAAATTTTCTGAGCGAAACCCCCTCCCCCCTCCCCTCTTTCGCCCACTTGTTTAACATTCTGTGAACAAGTCATGTGATTGGATTGTTTGGATTTCTACACGCTACATTCCTAACGTGGCGTGACAAATTGTAGCACGCGTGACGTGCTTCATTCTTAAGGGATCAGTTCGTGCTAATTCCTGTGGCAAGGTTAGGTTGTATGCTATCAAAGGAAATGTGTTGGAGTGTACTTCGCAGAGAATTTCGCTTGGTTAATTTCCGTTTGTTGTATCCTAACTCAGAGGATTTTGTTCAATCTCCAGTAAGTAAGACTTTTTAGTGTCAAACAAACAAAATTGTAAATATTGCTTCGTGTGCATGTCATTTGCACATTTTAGCAGTGATCCGAGTGGTAGTTGAGGGCTGCATTTCGTAAAACTATTTTACTGTTTATCGGTTAAAATAATGTTAAATACGTGAAATGGCTTGCATGAGGCCGACCGACGTTATGGATAAATGAATGACGTGGGTATTTGTTTCTAAACAAACTGTGTTGCTGCTTCGGTGGGAGAGTATAACAAGGTGATTTGGTATTATAAACTGATTTGACGACATAAATCGGTCACCATTAAGAGTTTTAAAGCTGACGTTTCGAGCGTTAGCCCTTCGTCAGATGCCATAGACAAATAAGTAAGAATTTGACTGCTATAAATATCGTTTACATACGATCTGCATCTCTGAGTGTTTGTTTCCGAATATATTATAATCATGTTGAAATTTTGCTGTCGATTCTACCTACTACATTCGGTCATCAAGTTTAGATATCTGATCTTAACGTAGTATATCACTTCTCTTCCCCTTATTTCAGTCATAGACTGTAAAATATATCGACTAGAAAAGCCGTGACTTGATGTTTCTCAGTAGAGCGTGACTTGATAGATATTTATTGCATGTTAATTCCTGCGTAGCTACGTTCGGTTCTTATAATAGTAAGACATTTCGTCGAGTACATTTCGTCGTTTTTTCGTAAATATATATTTCCAGTGATTTAGAACCTGTTAAATTTTAATTTTTTTTCATAGTTTGCAATTCAGGTGGTATGATTCATATCTCGTTTAAAGGAGTTTTGGCCCGATATAGTTCTGCAATATCCCTTCGTGATCAGCATACACTTTTCTCGGTTATAAGTAACATCATGAATAATTACAACATTGATAACTAGCAATTAATCACCGAAGTGGAGGTAAATATCCACCACTTTCACCGACACTGAGGTGAATAATTGTTTTAGTATATACCACATAGAAACCAAAAATTAGCATATATTTGTCGATATACCAAAGAATGGTCGGAAATAAATTTGTTGACGCGCAACTTTTTTGTTGGGGGGGGGGGGGGGGGGGGGGGGGGGGGGGTTGGGGGATTTTGATTGTGCAACAATAAAATTTATTTGATCCTCTTATAAGGCTCTGCAGCATTTTAATGATCCTCTTCATTGGCAGTCAATTTCCTATTCCACACCCTTCCTCCCTTTTACCCTTTCATACTCCTTTAGCGACAAATAATTCCCTTCCATTCCACTAAAAATCATATGATTTTGTCCAAACATACTCCGACCTCGCCTCCCCCTCCTCCCCTCGGGAATAAATAACGACTAGTCCCTTAATCAATCACAGTTAAATCAAATGAACGATTTACGATTCAGATACGATGCTTATGCTAATATTTTATATATTCCTAGTGGTTTGGAACGTTGACTGTTTTGCTGTATCGTTTTATCGTCGCCGTGTTCTGCCTTGGCACAACGATTGCGAGTGGAGTTTATCACCGAAAAAACGGACCCAAGTGGTTCATTTATCTGACCAATTGGAGTTTCTCTTTCATCACAACGTATTTCATTTGTGCTTGCACAATCACAGCTCTTCACTACAAGAAACAATGGAAAATGAGAAAACATATTTTCCAGTATAGAATGGATGTTGAAACAGAAGAGGCTCCACAACAAAAGGAAGGTGAGATAAACAACGGATGCAGAGAAGGACGTGAGCAAGGAGATGATGACACTTTTCCCACTGATGGCAATTTTGAAGCAACACGGGCGACGCCAATGTATTGGTACCATGAGGCCTTGTGGGTAATATATAACATTGCATCGGCTGCCGCCCTTCTTGTGACTTTATCTTACTGGACGTTCATATCCGAGAAAAACCCAAACGCCCTGTCAGTTATTGTACATGGCGTTAACTCCATCCTTATGGTTGCTGAAACCATGCTGAGTTCAGTGCCAGTGCGTTTATTCCATGTCATCTACTCTATGCTCTACGAAATAGCCTATATCGTATTTACGGTGATCTTTTTAGAAGCATTCTAAGTGGAACTGTGCTTTGGTAGGAATAACCCCAGCTGTTTAAGGACTTATAAAACAAGTGTTTTATTTTTTGCCTTGTAGCATTTTCATGAATGAAAAAATATCGTATTTACGGTGATCTATTGGGCGTCCGGTGGAACTAGCTCGTTTGGTAGGAGTTATATCTACCCCCAGACCGACTACACAGGGAGACCAGTCTTTTCTGCCGTTTCCCTGATTTGTTTTTTCTTCATTGGGCTTCCGTTTTGTCAAAGTGTTTTGTTTTGTTTTTATCGCATACGAGTCTGGATGAAAACCAAGTATAGCAAATAGATTACGATTATTTAACCTCATGTCATGTCACAAAAGTCACAAAACAGTACCAGCCTGGCCTAGATTGTTGTTTCGCGAAAAGCATTTATGGTGAGGACATATAAAACCTGGTGCTGATTATTCCAACTTTGGTTTAAAGCAGTATTTTCCTACACTGAATAGAGGGTGCATGTTATAAGTACGCATCTAAGTTTTTATTGAAAAATATTGTTAGAGATAGTTTCTAACACTCTTAATACAGTTGAAGTTTTCTTTATCCTTTTCTTTCTTACATACAACTTATTACTTCGCTGGAGGGGTCATTGGAAAGGTAAAGTACATGCAAGGGAGGTCTGCACTTGTCATGAGGCACACGGACTAGCTCAGATCTGTCGAGGAAAATGTGGGTCACCGAGTATAAAGGTGACGCTTACCGAGCCGTCAATCTCTAACCTTCGTCATGCTTTTATACTTAGCTAGCGAATCACGTTAAGCTACGCAGAGCGGAGTTCGCATACTAAGTAGATACCTTTGCGAGGTTTACGCTTTACAAAATGATTTTCTACCTTAAATTTCTTAGTCGTGCGGTCAAGTTCGGGAAAAACAAAAACAAGATTGACAATATAAAAATTATGATAAACTTACTAACAGAATTAAACTCATATTTCACTTCTGACTTTTCTGCACTCCAAATTAGTCTTACCCTCCCTGGAATCACTTTTCACAAGAGTACGTTAACATTTATTCTTTTATTTGGTCTTGTACCTCTAGCTGGTAGGATCTGAAGGGGCTCAGAAAATACAACCGGCTAGAGGTATAGCCTGCATAGTTAATCGACTTTGCCCAATTTTCATTACGGTTTGCTCCATATCTGACTTTTCTGCACTTCAAATTACATATTAGTCTTACACTCCCTGGAATCACTTTTTACAAGAGTATGTTAACATTTATTTTTTTATTTTGTCTCCTACCTTTAGCTGTAGTATCTTAAGAGGCTTATAAAATACAACTGGCTAGGGGTACATACTTAGTCGACTTTGCCCAATTTTTACCATGGTTTGCTTCACATTTCACTTTTTCTACACTCCAAATTAGTCTTACACTCCTCTGAATCACTTTTTTTCAAGAATACGTTTCCATTTATACATTTTTATTTGGTCTGGTACCTTTAGCTGGTAGGATCTGTTGGGGCTTAGAAAATACTACCGGCTAGAGGTACAGCTTGCATATATGTATTAAGACAACTTTTTTTATTTATTTATTTAATAGCTTTCACCATGATCACTATGCTAAAATTACACCAGAAAGAATAAATACTTTCGAAGTGGTCAAAAGAACGAGAGACGAAGGTGCGGGACACACAACAGAGCGAGGCTCCAAATTAAGTGTACCCAAATTTTGCTATGGTTTGCTTCGCATTTGACTTTTCTGCACTCCAACTTAATCTTACACTCCTTGGAATCACTTTTTTTCAGGAATAAATTTACAGTTATTTTTTTTATTTGGTACCTCTAGTTGGGAGGATCTTAGGAGGTTTAGAAAATACTAGAGGTACAGCTTGCATATTTAATCCCTTAGCCCAATTCTTATTACAGTTTGCTTTGAATTTTACTTTTGGGCATTCCATTTAGTCTTATACTATATCAGAACCACTTTTTCCATGAATATTTTCTTGTTTCTTGGTCGTGTACCTTTAGCCGGTAGGATCTTAGGTGGCTTAGAAAATACTACAGGCTAGAGGTACTTCGTGCATTTAAGGTGAATTTGGCTCATTTCATTTACTTTTTGATTTATGGAAAAACCTTTCTACATTCCATGTGTCTTATACCGTTATGGAGTCACTCCATAGGTATGTTTTCATGCTCTGCAGTCTTGTTTATGTGGCCAGTAGGATCTTGGATTACTCAGAAAACACTACACCAGCCAGAGGGGCAGCTTCTGTATGTGAAGTAAGCTTGAAATCATATACATTGTTATCTTTTAAATGAATTTCATGTAAATAAATTTTAAAAACTTGTCTGATTTTTATTTTCTTTGATTGTGGATTTATTTCAATGCAAGTCAAACCAGTTTTAGATAAATTTGACTTGAAATTCATTTCAGACTTGAACATGTCAACCAGATTTAATAGAGTTTGTCGTGTGATACTCTGCATAAGTGTGAGTGGAATTTCTTAGAAAGGTACAGTCTCAATTTTCATGATATTTGTGTTTGACAAGGCCAACCATTGTCTGATATACTAAAATCGAGTCATCTTTGGGATAGCATGATATTAATTCACCAAATTGACATTTTCCTTAGAAATTTCCGTGCAGAAATTCCAAACAATCCAATCACATGACTCATTCACAGAATGTTAAACAGGTGGGATAAAGGGGGGGGGGGAGGGGGAAAATATATCTATAAATAATTAGTTTTGGCTGATCCAAAGTATCGACATTTCAATTTTTTTTCACCAGCTTATGAGAACGAAGAAGGAACTAGAATTACTGTTCGAAAGCCAAGAAGAACCACCTGGTAGATTAACTCAGGGAGAGATTGAAGAAGAAAACTCAAGATTTCCTTATTAGAGCGGATACAGTTTGAGTTTAACACATGAACCAATTCCACAGTTTTCGGCGCTTAATTTCAACGAAAATGAACGAAAGTACTATTTAAGAATCTTTCGGTAGGTTAAAATAGTGACATAAAGAAAACAAAAGAACTAGTCTAAACAACTTTAACAATAACAGACAATCAGCGTAAGATCAGACAGTGCATTTTCTATTTTATTCATCTACTTGTCATTGCGTCACTTGATTATTTTATTTTTCTCGGTTTAATTTATATTGGAATTCATCGTGTTTTAGTTATGTCTCAAACTTTTTTAAAACTTTGTCTTGGGGGGGGCGCCTCACAGCAGACTTCGTAAGAGCAGAATGGCCACATCTAGAATCGTCTGGTGTTGTGGGATACTGACCGGTCCAGAGCAAGTTGAGTACCCAGATGTTCATATGGGTATAAATGGTACGCTTTCAAGGAAAAAGAAATAAAACTATGAAAATCAGATGCCTCTAATTTAAAACAATGTACGCGTTATGTTCTACCTTGTACTCGCTTCCTGCGTCAGCTAATTTAAGTCTTATTTCAAAGAGATTTCATGCTGCTCTTTCTAAAACTACTTTTTCGTTTATTTTAGGCTCTCTTTCTTTGTCATTATTGGAAACCTTAAACAAATCACGACGGCGACAGCAACTTCTAAAACTTTGTTTATTTCTTTTCCTGTCCTCTGCAAAACAACAACGTGGTAACGCTAACACTTTGCTTGGTATGAGCACGGAAAACCACGATGGCAACTTATTTTTGAAAAATGTGGGTAAATTTCCCAGTTGGAACTCAGACGCTGCTCACATATGATACGCCGAAGTTCTGTGGTACCTAAAAGATGCCGATGAACACATCAGGCAGCCATTCGAGAAATCATATGAATTCATTTTTTAATCAACATCTTCTGGTCCTAGCTTTGCAATTACTGAGAGACCGGGTTAATTATTGGATGAGTGAATGAAAGTGATCCTCGCAGTAATGTGCACTACTTAGGCAGTAGTGAAAATAAGGCCTGAAAAAAATTCAGGCCTGTACGGGATTTGAACCCATGACCTCTGCGATACCGGTGCAGCGCTCTACCAATTGAGCTAACAAGCCAACTGGGAGCTGGTCATGAAGTTGGTTCTAAATAAACCCGTGAAGTGATGAATAAATGGTTAAGAATATATGAAAGTCATATATTGAAAGTCATATATTTCGTTCAAATCCCGTACAGGCCTGAATTTTTTTCAGGCCTTATTTTCACTACTGCCTAAGTAGTGCACATTACTGCGAGGATCACTTTCATTCACGTCTTTATCCGCAGTTCAAATATATGACTTTCATATATTCTTAACCATTTATTGGATGAGTGTTAAGCAATAACTTATCACCGTTTGTCAATTTGCCTGAAGACAAAACTTCATCCAGCGTAAACCACAAGAAAGAAGGAAAAAATCCATTTATAAAAAAATTAAAGAGAAGAATTGTAATTAAAATATTTAATATGCGGAGACTCACATCAAAATCTTTGCAGTTTTTGTCCGTTATTTGTGCACCTCCTGTTGAACAAATAAGTTGATCGTCTTTTGGTATAGTCAATTCGTACGTTCCAAATGGACTCTGGCACTCATTTCCTCCGCCGAGTCGGTCTTCACACGAGTCACCGCTGAGGTAATGGCAACACATTGGTACCAACCGTGTGTCGTCTTCTCCCAAACAGTAAGAAGAATCCCCTGGAAGATCACAGTCATGAAGGTGAGTTTCATGAAGGTATTATTGACCCATTAACCCCTAAGAATGACTGGCATCTCAGTAATTCCTCTTTACAATATCACCCCTGTATCACACAGGTGACGAGAATCAGAGGAAATGTTCACTAACTAAAGAAGCTCTTGTTTGTTGAAGAAACATTTTTATAAAACATTATGGAGGATATGTATACTGACTTAAGGGTGTAAAGGGTTGATAACTGTATGTTTTACGTTCAATACCGCAAATCAATGAATCATAAATTGATCAAGAGTAATTTACATTGTTATTTAATCTCTGATGTGTTGGCTAAAATCTTATCTAAGCCGAGCGGTTTTTGTGTCTGACTCTGAAATCTTCATTCGTGTTAGCCTCAGAATTACCGGAGGGGAAACACAGCATTTTATACCTATGTGTACTGTTGGTGATGACTAAAATGAGAGAAACTCAAAGACAAATTTGGTTGTTAAATGCTTTTTAAGCAAGCACCGAGGAACTTCTAAGTTAGACCACATTTAACCACTGAAAACTGTCTCCAAGGATCTTTAACCGTGTTAGGTCCGTCAAACCATTAAAGGAACCGTTAAGGTATACGTTTGCGTGCTGATTGCTCGGTTTATCATTATTGAATAATGTTTACTACACAGCTCTTTGATCTTTTCAATGCTGAATTAAAAAAGGACCTTAATTTTCCAATAGACTGGATATAAACGACCAAGTATGACATAAATGCCCACCATTTCCAGCCAGTTGCATTTCTACACATTTAGCTGTATCAGTTATTTCAAAGCGGTTGAACTTAAACGTTCTATGCTGTAATGCCAATGGCTGTCGGAATTCCCTCACTGCTCCATTTCCATCTCTAAAGTACGATCCTGTCGAATGTTTTAACCCAAGGTAAACTCTACCCGGGAGGTTGTTTTTGGTTTGAGATCCATTCCCGTAGAGCTCAATGTACATCTAAAATGGAAAATTAAAACAAGTAATCTCAATATACTCCGGAATACAGGTGAACAGACAGACAGTTTATAGTCAGTGAGTTAATAGTCAGACAATCAGATGGTTAAACAGTAAGAAACTTTTGAAACAGCAAGTTACATAGTTAGAAAATCGGACGGTCAGAAGTGAGAATATGAACTGTGTTAGACTCCATTTTTATGGCCTAAACTGACCCGAGGCAACCCTTGCCTCGAAATAACTTTAGAGAGTGTTCATACGGAAATGTGAGTTGTAACAACTGTCCCCTCATCATCCTCTTTACTCACCGAAAAGCACAGGTTCTGGAAATAATTTGAGCCTTCTCGTCTCAGGTAGGCGATCTGAAGTGTTTCAGTATGACATAAGTCGTCCCGCCTGAGAGTCTTACCCTTCCTGCCAGGGCGAGAAGACCTGCCCCCCAGAGTAGTCTCGTCCCCCGTGAAGAGTTTGCCATTTATATGTAAAAGTTTGGTTGAGTTTTTCAAAGAAATAAGTGAAAAGTTCGCTCAGCAAGGGTAACTCGAAGAGGGGATGGAGGTTGTTTTGGGTACCCGAGACCATATAAATGGGTCCTAAGACAGTCAGACAGTAAGATAATCTGGAAAATGGACAGTAAGGTCGGTAAACAGCCAGACACAAACTGATAAAGAGATGTAGGTAGACATGTATGGAGATAGTAAAACAGAAGTCAGAGGAACCTTCCCAAAGTAAATTATTTGAAGAATAACTAGATTACAGGCGGAAGCATGAATAGATGAATTTATAAATTTGGCCCTCAAAAATAGCGATTAAACTTAGCCTTGGAATTCATATCGTTTGATCAATACACTAACCACTTACCTTTAGTAAGCGTATATTGTAGCAATTGCTACAACTGTCGTCTATAGATAAATCAAACATCGCTTTGCCATTGTGCAAGTCACTAAATAACTAGAAAGAAAACAAAGAAAAGAGTCACTGGCTTTTTATTAGCATTAAACAAAGTGCTTGATAAACCAGGTGCAAAAATATGGAGACATTTTGCAGGAGGAATGCGCACTGAAGTGTAGTAATTGAATGTCTGGTCTGTCTTAAACTCATCTTCATCATTGTCGTCAGTCAGCATCCGTTGGCTATATAGCCATCAAGTGCCTCACTTACCGATCTACACATCATTTGGTTTTATGGCAACTAAGCTTCATTTGGAACAGTGGGCTCGCCTAGCACTCAGTCTTATTCCCCACGCGGTACTGTCTATCATTTCCTTGACGCTAAAAGTTAGTTACGTTAAGCAATATATCCAAATTTTCAGGTAGGTTCATATTATCTTTGGCCGTTTGTTTTTCACATTTTTTTGCTCGGCTTTTACTTAATATAGCTTTTTTCCTTTTATCCACTGTCAACTTCATTATATCTATATTTTACTGTTCTAGAAGCCTCTGACCAAGATTTCATGGGAATTTCAGATGGAGGTAGCTGTCATGTAAGCACACCCCCTCCTCCCCTCCCCCCCAGAAATAATTTACCGCTGCGTTCGCTACAGGTGCCGTATGGCAAATCCCACAATCGCCATTCCAATATATTATAGTTAGACAGAGAGTGCAGGAGTTTAGTCCGCATGTTATATAACGTTATCTCCCCTGATTCTGCGCTTACGTCGTTAGCAGCATGCCTATACTTACTAAAGGGTGTGTGGTACTGTTAAAAGACCATTTGTGAGTGCTGGTTTGGTGAATGAACTGTGAAAAGCATTGCTGTCCTTTCCTAAGAACAGAATTGAACGCTGTCAAAGCGTTGTTCAACTCTAAAACTCCTCGCAGTTGTCCAGTGCCGGGAGCAGCCCCAACTGCGAGTCGTTGGTGATTTTTTAGGGTGCCATCTACATTCCAGAGTGTGCGGAACTCGAAGCCTTTGTATAACTGGATGAGATTCTTGGTGAAACTGGTCTCCATTTGCTGATAGGAAGTCAGGAGATCGTCGAGAAAAATCTGCTGTATATTTTCAGCGATAGGTGAAGCTGAGTGAGTAAATTGAAGGTGATAATGTTCAACGTGAAGGTTATGAACGGTTTAAAGTAGATGCACACTTGGGATAAACAAATGGCTCCAGCGAGTGAGTTATATTAGATGTGAAGCCCAAAATAATCCAGCCGCTGAGGATGACAGTATCGTAGGCTCGGGCTGGAAATTGGGAACAGTCTTATCCCATGATTAACGTACAGGTTCATGATGCATTTTATTAAATATATCCTAGGCTATACTTGCGTGAATATTGATTTTAAGTTCAAGTTAAATAAAGCAATTTTGGGGTAAAAAGGATAAAAAGTCATTCTCCGTAGTGGAGGTGGCTAATGGAAGATATTTATCGTCGCGAGGCGGATAGGTAAATGTCTACCTCTGGCCACAAACACTGAGATGAATATTTGTTTTAGTATATACTAAACAAATGAGATGGTATAGCACGAAAAGATAATTTAACTCATTTATTCCTACAACAGTTAAAAAATCCTTGGGCGCAAATCCCACGCGAATTGGTCGGAAGTAAATAGCAAAGGATACTCGGAGTTTGAGTAGCCAATCAGAGCACGTCTTCAACGCTAACCACTGCTAACATTCATAACTAGAGGCTATCTCTTACAAAGGAATAAATCTTACCGCCAGCACTACGAAGACTTGCTAGTTCATTAGACGTTGCCTCTAAATTTTGAATGTCAAAATTGTATCCTCCGATAGCATTGTCCAGGTCGATAACTTTGGCTATGAGGTCAATCCTTGCTGCACCAGAAATAAAGAAGCTTTCCATCTCCCTTTTAAATGCCCCCGATGCCTCGTTTAACATGCATCCAAGGTCCGCTATAAGACCTTCCTTGTTTATTTCTAGATTGGCCTTGGAAAAAAGTATGAAACGAAATAGAAAATGAGTGCCATTTGAATACTTGCATATATCAGTGTGAAAATTCGAGGAAAGTTTTCAATTTTTGACCACTCTTTATTTCATTTGGAAAAATAATTCGGGATGAAAAATAACTGGAAAATTGCCTTGACGCAGATAAACCGAAAACTCATGCCTGTTAAAGTAAACATAAGACCAGAGCCTTATCTCCAAACCCCAAGGGTTTACTTTGTAGTTGAAATTTGATCGAGTCGTTACGTATCTCAAGCAGGGTCTCGTGTAGGATTTACCCCTTCATCATGACTGAAATTTGAAACAACAACTTTATTACATAAATCTAAGATGGCTCGAAAGCTCTTTGCAACTAATTGTGATCATTTTAGAAGACATATGGTAGTTTACCTTCATGATTTCTGGTACAGCTTCTACATCCAATTGGGTAAAATCCAATTCACTTGAATCTTTAAGAGCAGCATAATTCTTACCAAATGTCAGCCACTTTAAGAGTTTGTCTTTGTTTTCCTGGAGTGTCCCGGTGTTGCATTGCGTTGCAAAATTCCCGATCACTCTGAAAGTGGTGGAAGCAACCGTGAAGGGATCACTTATTGTACCTGCAGCAACAATCCCTGCGAGTCCTTGGAGTACAACTAAGAGGTCTCGCTTTGTGAACTCTGCATCTGCATCTCCATCAGGCAGCTCATTGGATAGAGCTGTAAGAGAACCATTCATGTTAAGTTCCAGTTGGGTGATAGCCTAATCCAGCAAAAATCAAATAAAATAAAATTAGATGATCAGCTAAAAAATTTATAGAAACATTTTAAATGGTTCTAACTTATGATCTGTTGGAGGAAAGGCGCATAGATGACGAAACTATCAACAGCATATTGTCTTTTTATGTGTAAATCAAGTAGAATCGATGTTGCAGTAGGTCTGTACAATAAAGAATCAGGGAAGACAGCCGTGTGTGGTACTTTTTTCGTTCTTACTACATTTTGACGTCACCTGTGATCTATCTCTGATAAAACGACCGCAACATGGAATCTATTCAGATTAGATAAGATGGGATGAACAAATAAAGTAAACATACAGTCTCCAGCAACAGGGAGAACAACAATGCAGGAAAAAAAAACGCAAGAGAGGATTTCGTAATATTCGGAACTGAAATTAATGTATTAGGTTAATCTTGGCTTCTTTAGAAAATTTAACAAATAAACTAGCTAAGTACTCAATTTAGACGGAAAAAAGTTTCATGGTTTAAGGAACTCTATTATATAAACTGTACACGTGTAAAATTTGGATAATTTTCTTTGTGCGATTTATATCGTCAATCAGCTGCTGACACGTCAGTCGCCTTTCGTGCCACCCGGTCAGGTCGAGAAATGAATGACAGAGTTCACCATTCTCAATCCAAGGTCATCTGTCGAATTTTCTTGTCAGGAAAGGCCTATGGTGTTTATATAATAAACAAAATAATACATGGTTGCTTATAGATATGGAATTTCTCTTTTCGTGTTCCAAACGTTATCTATCTTGTTCGCTTTGCTTATTTCTCAAAACCAAATATTATTTTGCCTACATTAAAGAAAATGGTCATGATATTACTAGATATGTACAGGTCCATGACATAACAATACAGGACATTTGCTACGTACTTGGACGTAAACGTTTTTTTCGTCCATTGCTGTTTTTTTCGCATCTTGAAGTCTGGATTTTTGACTGTCGACCTGAATCCTCGCTGCTGTAGAAATAGTTTGTGCTATTTGTTTTATCCCAGCATTTTGTTGAATCGATGTCTGAATTCCATTGTAAGCACTCTCGTAGTCCCTAGCATTGTCTCTCAGTGTTGTCAGCTGTGTCTTGAATGTCTCCCATTTAGTAAGAGGAGCAAACAATTCATTATTTCCAAATCTGTCATATCCTGCAGCGTCTAGGAATGTCAACCTTCGTTGTGCATCTAATTTAAGAAGAAGCAGGGCACATGCATTAGTTTCAGGCTTAGGAGGCATTGTTTAAAATATTTTGAAAGACGCTGATGAAATTCCCACCCTAAAGTGTAAAGATTAACAAAAGGAGCATGGGCCTCTGTTCTAGTTTTTTTTTAATTCGATTTAATTTGAAAAACAATAACATGAAATTAAATAATATTGTTTACCATAATGTCATAAACAAGAAAAATGAGCCGAAATTACCGTGGAACTTTACCATAAAAACAGGGTAATCGACGTATGCAAGGATGCCAGACACATTTCTTTTAAAGAGGCGGGATCAGGATTAAAGTGCCTGATCATGAAAACCATGCCATTTGATTATTGTAACACAATTAAATCATAAACTTTTCCATTAGTATTAACAAGAGATCAATAAATAACTAATATGAAAAGAGAATCCCTGGAACGGCAGAATTGACAAATCACATGTAAGTTACCTATGCAATAGCAGCAATATGTATGTAAAGACTTTGTGTTAGCGATACATTTGGCCGCTGTCCATAATTATGTTTTTGCATTGAATGACTACGCTTTGATAGTTATACTCACGCTTTTTCAGTTCCGATGAGTCTGATCTTCCGTCTGTAACGTTGACTAAAAAGGTCAAGACTGCTTTGGCGTCTGCTGTCTTGTTTGCCCAGACAAGGTCTTCAGCGTATCTCGTTATCACCTTTAGCAGTGGCAATGGATACATATCTTTTTGGCTGCGACTGAGCTCTGATTTTTGAAGGTAGGAGTTTGCTACCTCACCATTAGTACCAGGCATCACCAAAGCTATGGTATGATAAAAGAGAATGTTATGTATTTCAAACTAATCGAGATCGAACCACAACTTAAAGAATTACCCAAAACTATAAATAAGTAAGCCTGAAAGCTATAGCATACTCAATCAGTCGATGAGCGAGCGAGCGAGCGAGTGAGTGAGTGAGTCTTTTAAACAGTTAGTCAGTCAGGAAGCCGGAAACTCAGTCATTCGATCCGTCAATAAACAAGGCAATCAGTCAGTCGCTCGGTAAGTAAAATGGACATTCATTGATGAAATATTCATTCATTCATATACATGCAGTCAGTCAGTCTGTCGGTGTAAGCTATACCTTACTCCCGTCCAAGAAGTGTTGCTACACTATCCTAAGAGCAGTTGGCTAACAACAAGATATTCTTTTCTATTCTTTTATTCTATTGTCTCCTTAGAACAGTTGAGTGGCAACAGGGTTTCAGTAATAGCTTAGAGAGTATTATACTTTTGACACAGTTGAAGAATTAAACCCACTTAACCTGGTCCGTCAGGTCCTTTATCGCCAGGAGGCCCGCGCGCCGCCCGTGGTAAGGTACCACCCTTGTAACAGTGTCCGGTACACGCAGTGTACAAACAGACTCGGTGATGATAACATCTAATCCCATGGCCTCCACGTCCTCCTTGACCTCCTGTTGAAAAGAAAATCAAATTTAGGAGATGATCCGCGTGAGTGAGTTTCAATGAACAAAAAAAGTGCAGAAAAGAAGCATAGCCGGAAAATTCAGTCTTGGAAAATATTCGAACCCATGCTTCTCACATGTAACTCAGCTAAGCCATACGTTGGATGTCAGGTACGTTTTAGAGGATTCTTCGCTTCCGTAAGGGAATCTTATCGCAATTAAATCAAATGAATTTCACTTTGATCTGCAGATGATAAATTACTAAAGATGTGGTCCCTGTAAGTGAGCTACAATGAAGACATGGAGAGGAATCCTGAGAAAGTCTAAGCTTCGGCCGGAATCGAAACTGGGTTTTTTTGCGTACTAGTTGCGCTGAGTTACGAAGCCACATGTTGGCAGCGCGGCTTGTACATAATATCTACAAGTCAAATCATTTTTGTTTCCTTTATCATTAGTTTTTTTCTTCATCACCAGCTGTAAAAGAAAATCGCCAAAAAGGGATTGATTTTTAGGTATCATAACAACACAAAGTATTCAATGCTCTTTTTCCTCACTCACGGGAAATGGCTGAGATATCACAAGTTTTCCGCTTAATACAGGATCTACAGTTAATAAATATGAAATTAAGAAAATCGATAAAAAACACTATTTTATGCCATAGTTTAGCGCTTAATGTAATTAAACCTCGCTAAATAAAACACTACTACTAATAATTTTGGGAGATAATCATAGGTTAAATTTTACTTGAAAAATTATTCTTAGGTTTGATTGAATAAGTGAACGTTTCATAAAGGTGTAGGACTGAACAAACAGGCCGTTGAGACTCAGAAAAGTGGAACCACGACTGCTTAACAGAGGTGAAAATTACACCAATTAAGGGGGTAAATTTTCGGAACTTTGAAAACCAACCGCTGAACAGATTCGACTGTATAACTTTCAAGCCATTCAGCTGATTAAGTTTTCGCTGAAAATGTTCAAATCCTGAAAGAAAGTGTCGAGAAGAGTAAAATAAAATAGATACGAGCAGATATTTTGCAATTTGTGTTGTATTTTGTGAGGGTGAGAAAAGCACGAGAGAATGTGCCCTCCTATTATACTTTAAATCATCGAAAAAGGGATTAATTTAGATCTGAACTATTGATTCACTTTCCAGTATGTTGGCTTTTAGTTGTCGTCAAAGATGAAACGATCAGAAACGAAATATATTAGTGTCCTTTGGGTCAAACAGAAATATCTGTTTCCCTTAAAAGTTGGTCGCATATGAAAGTCTGAATCGTTTATTGCAACCATTTTGTTGGTCCCTTTCTGTCCTTTTTGCCTTGTTCTATTCTGTAATGCTATCACATATTTAGAGCGTAACGTCCTCGTAATATGGTAGAATGGTTTAATGGTGGAATGATAGGAAAGTCTCAAATTTTGTAACAGTTATTGAATACCCCTTCGCAAGGGAATGGTGACAAGGTTGAGGGAGACTCCTAAAAGATGCCTGACTCAAACCCTAACAGACGGTAGCTCGACCGCCGACTGTTCGAACTTGGAGGAAATATTGAGAAATTAAGCATTCTCTTTTCCGCCTTAGGATACCGGATAGTACATATTTTTATACGTAGCGTTTGAGTATTATATTACTTACCGGGGAGATATCAATTGAAAGCGAACATTAATCAAATGGACGTGACACCACTGAATATAATCCTCTTACCCGGTCCTCCCCTTCCATTAGCAGCTACTGGGCCTCCTGTTCCACGACATGTCTTAAGATTCATCTTCCCCCGCAGGCTTCTGATGTTGATTGTTTGATGCCCTGCATCTCCACCATTTCCTACCGAGAACGTAAGGAAAACGAAGGCGTAAGTTATAAAAGCGACTGCTAGGATTTTAAGTAATCTTCTAACAAATTAAAACAGGAAAAAAATGGTTTATCCTAAAATTGCTCATCATCTGCTTTTCGGTCAAGAAAAAAAATTAGTGATCTGAGGCTCAGTTGATGTACCAACAACCCAAAGGAAAGGGGTATATCGTGTATAGAGATTTGCTTATCAGTCAATAACCTGCATTCCCAGCATATCCTCCAGGATATCCTCGCATTCCTTTTCGACCTCGTATCCCGGGGATACTTGATGTACATGCAGTTATTACACCTTGACTGTTTCTTGTGGCGTACTGGTCACCTTCACAATCGTCCGCCCGATTCCTGTTGCGTTGCTGGGTCGAGAGAAAAGGATTTTGGAGCAATAATTGAACAAAATGAAAAAAACGATGTGATAGATAAGAAAATAAATGCGAAAAATACTTTCATCAACTTCGAAAACTTTTAGTCTTTTTTTAAGGGTTTACAGAACTTACATACTATCTTTCTGAGTGAAATTTGAAAATCATCCTTTACCATTATCCAAATCTTTTTCCTATATCTATACAAAACAACAGCCTCCGTTTGGCGCGAAAATACGCCAGGTAATTTGTCCACTGACGGTAATTATCTGTTACGACATGAGAACAGCTTTCTTAGAGCGAAGCTTGAAAAAAACTGTGAGTTTCAAGGAAGAGATAAGGTCCAAGGAAAATACACGAGTATAATTTCTCGCCAAATGGAGATTATTGTCTTTATTATACTTCAAATGTTTTTGCAACGCGCGGGAAAGATGTTAACGAACAGCTTACTGTTTGCTGCGCGGCATGTTTACTTTTCAGTGTTCTTTGGTTCGACGTTAGAAACAAATAAACACGTCTCTTCTATAACAGTAGACACTCGCTCATCTTGATTTAAATTTCAATTCGGAAGACTTTAATTGTAATAGACACAAGATTTTAAAATTGGGGAATAGAACTTGAGGTGTATCCTCAGCTATTCCCCTGTTTTAGCAGTTGCGTATTGGGTCACGCGATGCGTTTGAATCAATCGCTTGCAAGAAAAAATATTTGATAGATCATAAATTACAACATACCGGATCAGGTTATTATGGCAACGACGAATATATTGCAAAGTGGATCGTGGCAGATCTATTTTCAAGTATTTGGCATATTTTTACCTCTGTAAACTGCAATTTGGTCGGATTTGATCACACAAAGACGGCAGCCATTTTGGAATCCATTACCAATGAAATCGAAGCCCACAATCATAGTTCAAAATTTTACAGGTAGTTAAAAACCAACGAGGTCATCCGACTCCAAACAAATCCAAAGGTATGGACTGATTTTGTCTATGGGGCTAGGGTATTTCTTCATAAAATTATGTGCCTTAATTGATGAATTTCTCATTTTTGATACTTGTTCCCATGGTATAGATCTGTCTTCTCAAAAATAGTTGTAATTGACAGACCTAGCACTCTATTGTTCAATCAGATCTATGCTTTTCCATAAAGTCGATACACAGCTCTGAAAGGAGCGCTTCAGTAAATAAAAAATAATAACTTGTTTCTTAAATAATTAAAGTTTCCTTTGTTATACCTGATGGTTATCATTAGGTCCTCCGGCGCCGTTTTGGCCGTTGCCGCCTCTCATACCATTTCCTCCATTTGTGTGTATGTTGATGTATCCTTCTGCCGTATCCGCAAATATCTCCACTTATAAGAATAAATAAAATACTTCTGCACATTAAATGAAAAAGAAAGAACCACATACATGCTCTTAGAAACTTCAAAAGTCAATCGTGTTTGGCAATTTTAACAGAGTTTGAATCATTTTATAGTTTCCTGACTGTGTCATTTAATCCTTGAGATCTACTTTAGATTTAATTATAGGACTTTAATTTCTTTTTAACAGTTCTTCTATTTCTATAATAATGTATTTATTTTTATTTTTTGATATTTATATTTGTATTAGTATTATTATATGTGTTGTTTGAGGAACACAAGTTTATTAGCCTGGTAGCTAGTGAGTGCTATCCTCTTTAAATAAATTGTTTACTTAATTATTTACTTACTAATTAGATTTTATTAGAAAATTTGCTTGGAATATACAAGGTGACAGTCATTATGAAAATAAAACTGGCGATCATAATTAAAAAAAAAAACTTTTCGCTAATTGATTTCCTTCTGGATGATAAAAAGCAATTTTTCTTTGATTCTTTCTTCTCTCCATCATGGGTTGTGTCCTTAGCCATTCGAGAATGCCTTACTAACAGTGAACAGCGGTTGTGCTCCAATAATTCCATGTAGAGATATATGCAGCTCCTTTTTATTTCAGTTAAAGAATGTAGAGAGTTCGATAAGGCGTTATTTGCTTTACCTGTTGGTCCATCTGCTCCATGATTTCCATCGCATCCATCTTTTCCGAGAGTTCCTGCACTGCAGCTTTTTGTCACCGCCGGAGCTCTGATGTCCAATTTACTACTTGAGTCAACAAATGCCAGTTTACGGCTAAACGTTGTCAACTTCTTTACGCCACGCAATTTGATGTTGCCCTGCGTAATACAAGTTTATTGTTTTACCAAATTATATTGGCATCACACACGCTGTTCAAGTGTTTCGCTGATCCAATTAGGGTGAGCCGTTGTGTCAGTCGGTTTTTTTCAGTTTTGGTTATAAAAGCAGTGTTTTTTTTTCCCTATTTAGGATTATTTTTTGTGTTTTATATTTTGTTGTCGTTGTTGTTGTTTTTTTGCAACAGAACCAAAAAACCAAAATAACGAGCCAAATCGTCATTTCCTTATCTTTATAGGATAGAGATCTTGTACTCAGGATCAAAATCTCCTAAGATTTGTGAGGCTTCCACCTCAGCACTTCCTGAAGACCTGAAACTTTTTGCGACTGAGGGACAAGTGGTAAATTCTTCCTTGCCTTAGCTGGCGTCATTTGAACTTCAGAGCAGTAATTTTTATTCGCTGGCTATTTTTCTCGTCTCATTCTCCTTCAATATTTTCCTCGTAACTGGAATAACAAACAATCAATGTGACAGCATCGTGTTTGACAATTTAAAGAGCCTCAGTAATTTTACACCTTTTCATTTTCTCGTACTCCCCTGCACAGTTATCTGCTTCCCTCTAAGCTAGCCGCTTCTCACCTTTATCAACTGCACCTACTTTAAAAAAATAGGTCTTGCTCCAATGTATTTGAGAATAATAATAGTAATAATAGTATAGGCCAGAAATTTATTATCATACCGATACAACAATGGTGTCTGCCATAACTTGAAGGTCAATGTTATTGGGCCACTCTTGGGAATCGCCGAAGTTGATGCTTCGCTGCGATGTTAGGTGTTCTCGCACAAAATCCATGTGAACGGTCCGCCCAAGAACTTTGTACCGGTCTGTCAGCAGACACACATGATATTTAGACTATTGGTGCGGCGCTCAAAGAGGTACTGAGTGATGGAAGTCCAGAACTCGTCGCTGTATTTCTTAGAAACTAACATTTATTTTACAAGTGCTATACGCAATCAAGCAGAGTTAAGCCTGTCAACATGTTAATCTTGTAATGCAACGAGGTAGCTATTCAACTCATTCCATTTCAGTATTCTGTATAGTTACCGATTATGAATGATGTAAATGATGATGAGTTAAAAAAAAAGATGGCATAGGCGCGTGTTATCCCTTTTCTCATCACCACCCTTTCATGTCTTCTGCAAATTTTAAATCGCAGAGAGTTGAAAGTTCAAACTTACCTGTTATCGCTAGCCTTTTTTCCATTCCAGGCACTGGCCAAGTCGAAAAGAGTACTTTTTGTTTTGGTTTCCGTAGAATCATAACCGTCAAAGACTTTAAATCAAAAGTTTTAATGCAAATACACAAACTACACTCTACCTCGCTTTTTCTTCTCGTTTTCCCTTCGCAGTTTCCGGATGTACTGTCGTGAGATACCGCTGGCCCAGCATACTACACTTTTTCATTTCATTTGCTTATTAAGACAGCTTCTGGTCAATTTTACAACAGCGCTTAATCACTTTATCCTTAAAAATGTAGCACGTTTTCGAATCGTGACCCATGTTAGTTAACTGACAAAAAAAACTCTCCATACGATGGCGAAATTTCATGATACTTGAAGAGGCGAGCAATAAAAGAATGTGGAGCATGAGGGTCGCGTGGCCTCATACCTCAGTTGGTAGTAGCGTCTAACAAATCTCTGGGAGGCACGCGTGCGAACTCCCTGTAGAAGCCTGGATTTTTTTTCTGGCTTCTTTTGTACATTTCTAAAAATGCCGCTCATTTTCGAGGATCATGGCTTTTTATTTGATAAGGTTCATTGTATGAGAATTAATTATCTGATGCAACGATGTATGACCTGTATTGAACATTTCAAGACACTATCATTCTGGCCCTGGTTTTTTTGAAGCGTGGACAATGCTATCCACCGGATAAAGTGCTATCCAGCCGATAGAGTAGTAAGTTTTGTAAACAGTTATCCGCTGAATAGCGATTTATCCGCTGGATAGTGTTATCCAGCCTTTGAACAACCGAGAGCAGGCTTACTTCAATAATAATAATAATGATGACTATCAGCATAAGAGGATGCAAAGCTTACCCGAAAGCCTGCAGCCGTAGAACTCTGCCCTCATTGAAATAAAGCGATGCCATGTTTTTGGATTTATTTGGACGTACCGAGCTTCTATTGGCTGCATGAAGGTATGGGTGACAATGGTGTTCCTGTCGCTGTTGCCGGAAAACACCTGTAACAATAAATAGTACTCAGAATGTCTTTGCAACTTGAACAAGAGTACATTCGACGCATAAAAATATCACCGCTGCTCACCTTATCAACGCCACTCTCTTGGTATGTTTGAAAACTAGATTGACCATCAGCAGAGTATTGAAGAGTGTAGGTGATTACCCATGCGTTCCCGTCACGACGCCCCTGGGTCGCAACTCTCGTGATTTTAACATTCTGGTTGAAGTCAACTTGGAGATATTGGTTCGTGTCACTTGTGCGAGGCAACCATCCCGCTATCCTTTCTTGAACTTTTCTGCGGTTTAGCCGTGCATTAAAGGGAGCGTGGAGGCTGCTCTTTTGGGAGGATGCTGTCATTTGTTGGTTTAGGACTAGACCACTCTCCAGTCCAAGTGGCTCGTCACCTGTGCAAGCTGGTAGCAAAAAGTTGCATTGAACAGTGTTTGATTGAGAAAGTTTCTTTCAAGCAAGTTCAATTAAAAAACGTTATGTTTTTACTTAACTTCGATATAGCAATCACCTATTTCCTTCCAGCATGCAGGAAGTGCACAGAAATCAAAAACGCATTCGAATTCTTTTTCTCTAAGTAGAGGCATGTCGTTTGAAATCCGAATTAACTTACCACATATCTAATTATGGATCGCAAAATTTATCGTGACCCACATGTACAACAGTTAATTGCAATTTCACCCTCTAGATTTTGATTGATCCTCTTTATCATTTCTGATAGTTATGTATTGATAACTAGAATGCCCAATAACCGCTGATCTTCTTGCCAACATTCCCTGAACGTAATCAAGTTGCCTTCACAATGCTATTAGAACTTTTTGCCAACTGGAAACGATCCAGAAAACGACAGGAGAAAATGGGTCTTTTCTTCTGCTTCAACTTTCTTTGGACGATCACGTCACAAAGGATAATAAGGGGGCGGGGAAATAGAATTAGATAATAAACGGAATTATATCATCATTTGTTGCGCCTACGTACGATGTATTCTGCTAAAATCCATACCGAACTAAATTGCGATAAGCGTTCTTTATTCTACCTGCACTGAGAGGAACAATCGACGGAGTCTCAAACCATGTCATATTAGGGTATTCAAGAGTTTCGCTGAAAGACTGATCTCCTGCTGGCAAAGTCGAGCATCCATTTTCTGTAAAGGTAGAAGGAAGAAACGTAAAACAGTTGGCAGCAAGAATATATGTGACACATTTTCTTCAGCTTTAGATTTTAATTCAGTTTAAAAAGATTTGAGCAAAATTATGACAGTATAACTTTTGCACCCTGTAGAAAGTTTAACTTTTTTTTTCGTTTAAACAATTTTATACAGCTTTTATTTTATCTGACTTTAAAAAATTGAACTAGGGTACATTTTGAATGCTTTACATCGACAACTGCTTCTTTGCAAATACCGTGTATCAGTAGTAACGTATGTATTTTCGTGTAACAAAACCATTCTCTGTAAGGAGTTTTGTTTTCCATGAATTCTACTCTCTAATTGTCTTCGAGATCTTGTATTTAAAAATTAACACGTCTGTTAAGTTAAAAGCTGTTTTTCTGAATCATTAATGCAGGCATACTAGCAAATAGAAAAGGAGTAAAGAACTTTGTTTGTAAAGATGCTCTTTCAGGCAAGATCTCTAGTATTGCCACGTCCAACGTGCAATGGCATGTTCTAAATCACGATATTTCAAAGGAAACTCTTATTTCTTGCCAGTAAGAGACGCGCAATCTTCTAAGTCTTTTCTTTTAGCGATAAGCTGTAATTTTGAAAAGTTTATAGATTATCTTTGCGTTACAATACCTACCCGGTTAGATCGACAAAAAAGAGTCAAATCATTTAGATCAATAAAATGCCTGTACCACAAACCTTGGCTGAAGCCGAAGTCCAGAGCTGTAAGAAAAGCCAAAAGTAGTGCCAGATCCATAACTTATCTTAATCTCACTGAAGAGAAGTCACCCACTGCTCCAGAGTGGTTGCCTGTGTGAACTGATCGAATGGCCCTCTCTCAATGGCAACAGAGCGACGCACGATAGGAAAAAAGGTAAATAAACTCATTAAAATTGAATGCTCTTTTCGCGGAGGAGGGAATAAGCGTGATCATTGAAATCAGAGGACTTACCCGCTAACAGGTCGAATTTACCGGTGCCCGGGTACACAGTTAAGTAAATATATTTTGTAACAAATCTTTAATTAATATTTCCACCCGTATTTGCTTCAGTCAGCTTTGATCAAACCATTGTAAAATTGAAATTAGTTAATCCTGTTTTTTCCTATTAGGGTGAGATGTAACCACCACACAAACTACAAACTGCTTAAAAACTAGGAATTATGCCTCAACTTTTCAGCCCACATTGCAGAGGTCATAAGAAATCCGCCGCTTGTGTCACGATCAAGTCGCACCACCGTCATTCAATATTAATCAGAAAAAAAAGACAGAAAAATAGAATTCATAAGACTTGATCTTTAAAAAGAGGTTCCCCAAAAGTGAAAAAAATTTATAGAATGTTTTAGATGACAGACGTAGTTTTATTTTTATAAACAAATATCCATTTAGAAAAAGATCCGATGTTGTTTATCATATATAGGATGACATGTTCTTCAACATCCCAAACAAAGTCACAAACAAAGTCACAAACAAAGGCAGTGCCTCCGGTACCTGAGTGCACTTTTCCTACCACTGTATCTACGAGAAGAATTTAGCATCAGCGTTATATTAGCCTATTCTGACCTAAAATACTTCGCTATACAATATTATTTTAAGAGGATGGAAGGTTTATTGTAATCTGACTATACTCTTCCATCTTTCTTTGATAGGAGCGAATGAAAAAACAGACGTTACCAGAAATGAGTCCATGTAATATTAACACCAAGAAACTGTTTTGCTCATAGGCCACAGCGGGTGGTGGTGGTGGTAGTGGTCAGCACTACAACCCTTCTTCTCCTCCTCATCGGTTAATGACATAAACGATTACTTGCCCAAGACATAAATAGATAATTAATGGAGGGATGTTTCCATACATTATTCTGGCCCTACCCAAGAGAGAATTATCGGAAGGATTGGATCTTTCATACTCGCCTTATACAAGAGGTAGTTCTTTGGAGACTACAGGGCAATTTAGTATTATCAACTGAGTTGATAGTGTAAATTGGCCACCGTAAAGAGTTTTAAAGCTGAAGTGTCAAGCGTCAGCCCTTCGTCAGAGCGAACACCGAGTCTTTTTTTCGGTACTGGCTTTCCTTATTGCTGTGGCATATTCCCACGCTGAATCTGAAGCAATCGTGATCTTTAAAATTTCCTTTTTTTCTCCTATTTACCCTTTTTTTAAATTCTATTCAGAGGGTCTCAATGCCGTCACTCGTCAAAGGACCTAAAATTCAGCCGTCAGCGCTCAAAAAGGATTATCTTTTTTTTTCGAGAAAATATGCTGTTATATTTGGCTTTCGACATTATCTCTTCCTCAAAGCTAAAACATTTGCTCGAGCTTCGCTCCCTCAAAACTGTTCGCACCTCAGCACAGATAATGTCCGCGAAAAAATATCCGTGCTTGTTTTCACGGCAAATAGAGGCTATTGTTTATACGCCACATGGCATCACTGTCAGCTTTAAAGTAGTTTTTAGATTGGCTAGTGTGGAATTAATTGAATTCCTTTTGTAGAACCTACGCGGAGTACCACAGAACAGTTTGTGACTGTGCGTATCTACTCTGATACATCCTAAAGTCACTGCTATTCTAGACTTGACATCTAAACCGTCTTGGTCAGAAAGGCAGTTTAGAAGAAAGGTACACATACTGAATCTGTTACTGCTTTAGGTTGCTCAGTAATTTCCCGAGGTCCAGGCTATAGCTTTCGTGAGACAATACTATATATTATTATGATGAATTATTGCTAGTGCAAAAGAGTTCTGGTGTTCGTCGTCGCGCAGTATTCATAAAAGGTTAATAACTGACGGGTGACAACATGCAAATGTTTATCGAAGTCTTCGTTTGAGCTTTAGACACTAATTCAAGACGAATGAAATAATTATACTCTGAAGACAAATAATTTGACTTAATTTATGTTGGAATCAGATATCCCCAGTCAAACACGTCTTAAATCAAAGTCCTTTATAATATAATTGTCTTTACACCTTCTTATCTATAAGAAGGTGTAAGGACAATTATACAATTAGTCAAACTCCAGTTAATGATTAACCTTTTGGACAAGTGTCCTTTAATTAACAAGTCCTCTCGTGTAAAACCTAGAAGTTCAATTTTGAAGAGGGGCACTTGTACAATAAAAACTTGAGAATTGCTCTTTCCCATATTACTGACGTCGTGCGTGTCAATTGGAATCCTTGAAATTAAAAAGTCTCACACGGCGCCGGAATTTTCTTTTGTCAATTTTTAACTCGCGTGACGGTTAAAAGAGGGAAATAAATGTTGGATACAGAACCGTAAAGGACTTGGTCTGTGAGTGTGCATGACCTCTAAAGGTAAATAATGGCAAGGACATGACAAAGATTTATCGGATGTTCTGCTCTAACACGAACAAATATACTATTTTCTTATGTAAGCATAGCTGATTATTAAAGCTTGTCACGCATAAGGTATTTCGACACGCTCGGCGAACTCTAATACTACGTAATATATGCAAACATCTTTGAGACAAACATCAAAGTCACTCCTCGTCAGAGAGACATCACTCGAAATAATGTGTTGTAAGGTACTTCGCGACGAATTCCGTCTCGTTCAGGCCCGTCTACTGTATCCAAATGCAGACGATTTTGTTCAGTCACCGGTGAGTTCATCTAGATATTTATAATGCTTGAGTAATTGCGTAACGACGTATTGTTGCTGATGTTCAGTTCAGATTGTTGGATTTGATTACAGATAAGCTTACATATTGCACTGTACACATATAATCGTTTTACTGTATCACATCTGACAAGTATAGTCGTTTTATAGGGTTTTTGGACTAATCGTGACACATCTCAAATTAGTTTTTAAACTTGTGTGTGTTCCATTTTAGCGGCTTACTGAATGACTTAGTCTACAAAATTTCCCTTTCTCTAAATCGAGAGCACACATAGAGTATTAAAGGAATTTGATTTAAGAAGTGTTTGATTGGGGATATTTGATTCCACCATAAATTATGTCAAACTATTTGTCTTCAGAATAGAATTATTTCATTCGTCTTGAATTAGTGTCGAAAGCTCAAGTGAAGACTTCGATAAACATTTGCATATTTTCACCCGTTAATTATTAGCCTTTTAGGGAAAGGTCGGCTTCAAATTAACCACAGCATGAATACTGTGCGAAGACGAAAACCTTTTTTGCACTAGTAATAATTTATCATAATAATATATGGTATTGTCTTACGAAAGCTATAGCCTGGACCTCGGGAAATTACTGAGCAACCTAAAGCAGTGAAAAAAACAAATCAGAAATCTTCGGAAACTTGCGCGACCTCGGGCCAATATCGATTTGCGTTACGCAATTTTTAGCTTCAAAACCTCGGCAAATCAATTTCCTTCACTAACTATGCTTTTCAATACTTTGCTTGTGCGACGCGGAGTACGAAAGCCCTCGGCACAGGCGTTTTTCTCTTGGCATTTTCTAGGCGTGCAAAGGCAAACATGAGACGACAGCGTGTCACGCTTTCCTCGTACTTTCCTCACGCTCTATCCCGCTTTGCTTGAGCTATCCACGCGCTTCCTCGCGCTTCCACATGCTTTCCTCCGCTAACCTTAAAAAAGGGGGAAGAAATGAAAAGAATCCTGAATGAGGAGAATCTATAGATAAATTTTCCAAGGCTTTTTTTTCTTTCAGTGGTTTGGCACGCTATTTGTCCTTGTGTACCGTTTCGTCATTGCTGTGTTCTGCTTAGGATGGACGATAGCAAGTATGACTCTCTTTGAATATTGGTTTATTTGGCTGAGCAACTGGAGTTTTTACCTTGTCACGGTGTACTTTACTTGTGCGACTATCGTGACAGCCATCCACTACAAGAAAGATCGCAGGACAACAGGAAATGGCAGTGGCGCCGGACATGAAAAAGATTCCGGTGGTGACACACCTAAGGAAATGACTGACTGTACAGTAGAACGCAGGAGAGACAAAGACGTCTATTGTAACGGAGGATCCAACACTGACACAAAAGGCGGAGAGGTCACCTTCACCGCTGGCCCCCAGACTCCGAGCGCTACGCCGATGGCTTGGTTCCACGAAGCCTTGTGGGTAATTTACAACATAGCAGCTACGGCCGCTTTTCTGGTTACTATCTCATTCTGGACTTTGATTTACGGCTCAGGTATCAATAATAACGTAACTCCTTTTGGAATTGTTGTGCACGTGATTAACGCCATTGTAATCATTGCGGATACCATGCTGACGTCAATGCCCGTGCGGTTGTTGCATGTTGTTTACCCGATGTTCTACAGCGTAGTCTACGTTATCTTTACAGTTATTTACTGGGCGTCCGGTGATGGTATGCGTTATATCTACCCCCAGACTGATTACACAGGAAGACCAGTCTTCTCCGCCTTGTCGATCGTCGGACTTTTACTCATCGGCCTTCCATTATGTCAAATTATTTTGTTTTGCTTCTATTGCATTCGAGTCTGGATGAAAACCAGACGGGGCTATTGTTTCAGTTAAAATCGATTCAGTTTATGTACCTTTCTTCTAAACTGCCTTTCCGACTAAGACGGTTTAGATGTCAAGTTTAGAACAACAGTGACTTTAAGATGTATCAGAGTAGATTAGCATAGTCACAAACTGTTCTGTGGTACTCCGATTAAGTTCTACGAAACGACTCCTGATTACTCAGTCGATTAACTAACCTTTGCCTTCTTGTTTTTAAAGTGGGACCAAGCTAACAGAAGGATTGAAATAAATTCGATTTTAATAAAACCTAAATTTTTTCAAGCTTTTCTAGTCAATGTTACACCCATGAAAACAGTCCACTCATCCGGGTATGGATGGTGCCAGAAATGTGGTAACTCAACGTCGCTAACAAGCTATAAAGGACTCTCGATTTTTCAAGTGCAAAGATCTTTTTACTCCAATCTGGTTTTGTCAATCATTTCAATCAATGGTTTGACTTCATCATCCTTTATAATAAGTCTCAAAAGCTCTTACCTCTCTTATTCTCAACCAATCAGATGCAAAACTAAAACAAATCCCGATAGAGAATCCCATTTCCTCTTTTTTTCTTAAACCAGTTCAATTTATTGACCTGTAGTTGTGCTGAGATTTGCAGCAGTCATTTCTTACTTCAAACGAAAAGTGCTTCAAGAGCTTCTCAGAGCTTTACGTTTGTATCAAACTGTATTACTGGAGAAGCTCCTCGAGAAGCATTCGCGTTTTCAAGCGCTACTGCATGATAATCGCGGAAGACAAGACGGAAACGCTGTGCTTTTGCGACGAAGGCGCGCCTAATCGAGCTAAGAAACTACCCGGTAAAGAACGTTCAAAAGTTCCGTTACCTGGGCTTTTATCTCCATACCGACCCGCGCGCTGCCAAGCTCGATGAACAAACCTCTATGGCCTGGGACAAGTGCCCCGAAATGAAACATATCTTCACGGACCGCAAGATACATATACCGCTGTGGATTAGAGCCAAAATGCTCGAGAGTACAGTGCGCGCGAGACTATCGTACGCAGTCCAGACACGGCTACTGCTACAAAATTACAGGAAATTGTTTTTTCTTCGAAGCAAGAGCATTTTACAGTTTCAATCAGAGAATTATGCCGAGTAGATCCGTAGATATATTTTTTTTCGGTTTTTTTTATCCGTTACACTACAAAAGACGATAAACATCTCAAAACAATTTCCTAGTGGCGTCTCCGACAAAAGACTTTTCCTTACAGAAATATGTAAATAGGTTTGATCTGCACATCGTGAAAACCTTTGAAGGAAAATTTTATTTATTCGAAGAGAGAGCATTTTACTTTTTGAATTACCTACTAAAGCCCTAAGCCGCTTAATTTGCGAAGTCGTGTCCCAATAAAATTTACCTGATCCCAGTACGGCTCTGTAGTATACTGATGACCCACCCCCCTTCCCCCTCATTAGCAATCCATTTTCTAATGTACCCCCCTGTTAGCTGTTAGCGGCGACTGATCCCCGCTCTGTTCACCCTAAAAACCATGTGACCCTCCCCCCGACCCTTCATCCCCACCCCTTTGGTGAGAAATAATGAGTAGTTCCTTTCGAATGTTCACATGCTTATGTGTTTCATGCAAACATTTTATTTATGAAATAAAATCACATTGTGTAGTTGAAGATTTATTATGGTTTAAATTATGTTTACATATTATTGGCTATTTCATCTTGACCGTGCAAGCCTGCATGGCAGGAATCCCTCTAATCATCACTGGTCGCGAGAGATTACTAACGACAAAAGCATTCGAGATAGCATGTATGAGGTGGTGTGACAAAAGTTAGATACTGACTCTACCAAATAAGATTTTAAGACAACCTCCACCGTGAAAGCAAAAGTCTTATTAACTGCAATGATTTCTTTTCTTACTGCTGAATTCTTTAGCGGCAAAATGTAAACAGAAAATTAGAGATTGTTTATTAAAAAGCCCCCTTGAGTAATCAGAAGGTATGGAACGGCAAAGGCTCCTTTCATCAAATATACTAATCTGTTAATCCCAAAGAGTGACAGGCGTCTCTTTTCTGCCCTCGAACAAGATGGTGTGGCATTAGTTGGATACTGATGCTAAGAAATGAGATTTTTTAAGACAACCTCCACCGTAAAATCAAAAGTCGTATAAACTGCAATGATTTGTTATTGCTGATTTCCTTACTGGCGAGATGTAAACAGAAACAAGATTGTTAATAAACAAGACGCCGAGAGCAATCTAATCCTTTAATCCCTAAGATTACAAGCGTCTGGTCTGCCCTCGCACGAGATAGCGAGGCATGAGTTGAATACTGATGCAAGAAAATGAGATTTTAAGGCAATATTCACAGCCGTTAAAACCAAGTCTTCAATGATATCTTTTTCTCGTTGCTGATTTTTTTCAGTGGCAAAATGTTAACAACAGATCACAGATCGTATCTTAAAACTTCAAGGTGCACTTTATTAAAGTGATTCGAAAAAAATTCGCGTTAATTTAATGCATTTTAATTTACGTCCATAGTCATTGAAGTCATAATTGGTGTTTTATAGCATTTGTTCAATAACGGAACCTTATCTGTTTTTAGCCGAGGCACTCGAAGAAGCCAGGATCCAAGGAGGTGTTCCTTATCCATTTACGGAGCAATAACATGATAACAATGAGCTAACAATGACTGAAGATCCTGCTGTTTTTTCCATTCGAAATAATTGTTGAGACGCCGGTTTCAGCATATTCGCGTAAATATGTTAGGCGCACATTGTTTTCGAAGAGTTCGCGTTAGTTTGATTTAAATCCACCGTTTTGAAAATTCGAGTTAACTTTGTGTAATGTAAATTTTCTTCGCGTTGTCAACCTGCATCTTTAATTTCTTACAATAAAGGTAATCAAACAACAACAGAGAAAAAGGAAAGAAAATGGAACGGCAATTTAACCCCTGAGAGTGACAGGCGTCTCATCTATCTTCACACGAGATGATGAGGCATAAGTTGGAGACTGACACAAGGAAATAAGATTTTAAGACAACCTCCACTGTGGAACCAAACGTCTTATCAATGATTTCTTTTTTCTGGTTGCTGATTTCTTTAATGGCAAGATATAATCAGAAGATTACAGACTGTAATTAAAAAGACAACCGAGGGCAATCTAAAGAGAAGGAACGGCAAAGAATTCCAACAATCAGATATTAAAATTTTTTAACCCTAAGAGAGACAAGTGTCCAATCTGCTCATTGTCATTGTGTCGCTGCTGAATCAAACATTAACCTGACGAGAATAAATGAAAAGTTTGCATACTAAAGAAGCTCTCGATCGGTAATGAAATTTCACTTGTGAAAAATGTATAGAGAGCTGTATAGACAGTATTTCTACTAATATTAGGGTTTAGAGGGAAAAAAAAAACCTGTGTGTGCGCAAGCGTTACCAACAACTAATATAATTAGTTCGTTTAAACCGGCAAGGCGAAACAGGTCCAGTAATTTTACATATTGTTAGTTGTATGAATAACCTTTTACTATTCAAAGGTTATAAACCGCTTGTGTATTCCCACCAGTTTGTTGTCATTGCCTAATTAAGTTTTTGCCTCGATATGCGAAAGGTTACGTCAAAACTATTCATGCTCTGCTGGCCCTGAACAAAGCCGATGGGTTTTGATTCTCGAAGATTTTGTTTCAGGCACAATTGATAAGGCATTAAGGCTTTGATGACGAATTGACAGGTTGAGACCCGTAAACTGAAGAATGTAACCTCATTTCGTCAGTTGAGATATCAACGTCCGCTCTGTCGCAAGCATCTTTGAGAAAGAGCCACTCCCGGTTTTGTACCTGGCAAGCAGATTAAGATGAACAAACTTCTGCTCTCTTTTCTGGTCATCTCAGTTGTTCTCGCTGTGTGCTGTGCACTGAGAGAACGGCGAGAGGTACGTCAGGATTCTAATCGCCAAAAGCGTTCTATCCGGGACATGGTTCGTCGAGAGGCAAGACGCCTAGATCTGTCCCGCAGAGAATTTGCGCGTCGCGATCTTACACGCCGGGAATTATTTCGACGCGATCTCAGCCGTCGAGATCTCACTCGCCAAGGTAACGGATGGTGTTATTTTAGTGATCGTAGAAGAAACCTGTAAAAAAAATCTGCTCTATGTGTGACTTCGAGGCTCAGTAAGCAGTGGCGCCAAACAAATATCTGGGAGGAACGGGTTCGTAGTCGAAGCCTAAATTTTTTTTCCAAATTTTTTATGCAGCTCACCCGCCAAGATCATTGCTTACTTGATCGTAGCTAAATTAGATTTGACCAGTTTGGACGTCTCAGTAGATTTTTTACCATGTTCTGGTAAAACGCTGCTCTTCAGAACAACTGTGACCGTTGGTAAATCACAAAAGGATCAAAAAAATTTGCTGTACCTTACGTGATGTCTATACTTCCTTGTAGTAATATATCTGCAAGGAGATCATTTCGCGTTCCAACACCCTAGTTCCAAAAGAGCACCTCGTCCAGGCATTTCAGCGAGTAACTGTTTGTCGTTAAACTATTTTTTATAAAGCACAAGCAGACTGAGTTGTCTGAAAGTGGCCTAATATCTTGCAAAAATTGCTGACCCTTCATCTTTAAATCTTGATATCGTTCTTTAGCCCGCCGTCTTGGAGCAAACGATTATCAAGCAGTGCATGCTCAGTTCCACGAGGATGAAGGAGCATTTGCAGGTACGAAAACTGAACTGATATCTTTTTGGCAGCTTTGGCTATCTCATTAACGACCAGCCAGCTGCTTCCTTTTGGAAACCAGGGACAGGACTTGAAACAGATTTTACCAAAATCAATATGCATACATCATAAAAAGATTAAGATAACTGCTTTGAATTGTTCTCAATTGAGATGGTCCGAATGTCACTTAATTAACGTTGAACTCATTTCCGACCATGTTTGAAAGATAACGCTAACTAACAGTCAAATTTAATTTCTTTGGACGACCCCAGGTGGACAATGCGAAATACTTTGTTCTGAACATAACTTCTCTTTAGTTAACAAATGCAAACATTTCGTATTTACTCGGTGGAAATTAGTTCAAATTAATTTCTTTGTTCATGTTATGCACGGGCTCTTATTTGCCTTAAAAGTTTACTTATTTCGTAACAGATTCTCGACAACATAGTCTGAAGACTAATCATTATTTGGTGTCGCGGGGGGGGGGGAAGTGGATCATGGGGGGGGTCTCATGGTTCTCAGGGAGATAGGAGGGGGGAATTAGTCGTCACGGACAGAGTTTCAAGGGGAACTGAAGAAAATCGACTGCCAACGTAGGGGGGTCATTACATTACTAAAGGCAGACTGCTGGGTTGTGGGTGGGCGTGGGGTGGGCGTGGGTTGTGAGACTGGAGGTGGGGGTGGTGGTGAGCGCTACCTGTGAATCATAACACTTTGCTATGGTTTTTGTTTTTGTTTCTCTTTGCTACTTAAATTTAGAGACAGATTGAGAGCATTTTCCTCTGCCAAATACATCTGGGAAGCTTAGTAAGGTATTTTTAATAGTCACGAGGTTTTAAGGCCAAAAATACCCGTTATCATTTACATTTAGAAAAACCTACGAGTGGGTAGGCACTGTAGGTTTGTCAAATAACTAATTTTCAAAACCTGAAATGATTCTTTTTTATTGCGATGCGAGGAAACTCAGCTCCAAAGAAAATTTATCTTGGAGGCGAAAGAAATTGCTTAAAATAAACATTAAGATACAATTGAAAGTTCTTTAGGGATTGTACGTTATGCGAACTTCAAATCTCGCAAAATAGAACAGCCAGGCACTTTTTCACAGATATATGAAAAAGTCTATGAATGAGTGAGAGGGCTCTCAGACTAACTGAACAAATAAGCACGCTTTAGGGTGGGCTTTCCTCGTGCTAATTTTAGAGGATAAAGAGTTGTCTATCCTAGATCATTAGTCCTATTTTTCATCAATTTTGCTGACTTCTTAAAAGATACTGATTAACTATGATAGAATAGTTAAAGACTTTTTGCTTTTTTTTCCACCTTCACCGTCGAAATAAAACCAAACCATTTTCTTCTTTACCTTTGTTCGTTACTTTTCTTTACTCCTTTATTCATTTCTTTTTCTTTTTCAGGTGATGGTGCACAGAACCAAGAGAGTGTCTTTTTTATATAATCGTCGTGAATTGGTTGTCAGTTTGAAAGTTTGCTGTTTACACAATAAAAATAGGCTTCGGATGTAATCTGTGTTTAGTTGTTACTTGAAAGAATATCTGAAAGCAAAAAACGATATTGTAGAATCCCAAATATCTTTCCTCAGGATTCTTTCTTAATTCTAAAATATATATATTGTTGCACAGATATAAAGTTATATGGAATTTTATATATAGCGGTAGTAAGAAAATACAATAATACCCCATAAGTTACTATTTTTTTGTTGCAATCCAACTCCTCAAAGTTAAAATGTAACTCCACTGTCACAAACCTGGTAATTTCGAGCAACTAAGACGAATAACAACAAAAGATGAACTACAAGAAATCGAGAAAAAGCGACAAAAATGGGAAAAAAGGAGGAAAACATTCCTGGTGTGTTTTAAAGTGCTTCTAATGCTTCACCCGGCCAATTATCAAAATCTGGTGATATTATAAGCAATACAACCTTATCGCTGGGGAAATATATGGAAATCTCATTCATCTCCGGGTCATTCAAATACTAATGTATGAGCTCTTAGAATCAGTTTAAGATGACCTCTTTCTTCTGTTTTGCAGAAAATATAATTCTTTTATAGGCTGCTCGAACGAACACAGCCTCTAAGCGCCTCGTGGTCAAAATCATATTAAGGTGGAAAAAAGAAAGAGTTGGATCGATTAGCTGCAGATGCTGGCTTAACCGCGATCTCTTGCATGAAACGGAAATTCTGTACAATGGCCACATCACGTTATCAACTCAGTTGATGAACCAACTTATCTTAAAATATTCACTGATGGATGCAAAATTCCATTATAACGAAGAAGTGTCCTTTCTGGATAGGAATGTCATTTCAAGATTACCGTATCATTTAATCGATTGAACGACGCGGCGTTTATTAAATTCTTCGTGATTCGAGTACGGCGTTTACTCGAGGACAGCTTTTATTTAAAATACAAACAATTGCATGGTAACTGACCATTTCAATTTTAAAAAACAGAAACATGTTTTAATGCTTGTCTAAAAAGTCGTTTTCTATATTGCTCTCAATTTCACAATTTGCATGTTAATACTACTACAATACATAAAGTGAATAAAGATCTTATGTCGGATATGCTTTCTCGACATCAGAACTGGTACACTCAAAAGAGTTTGTGTCTGTTTCACTCAAAATTCAACTGCGATGGAAGCAATGACCGCTGTGTGCTTTATGAGTCTATTATTCGAATAAACGCCGCATGATGATGCGGCGTTGATTCGAGGGCGGCGTTTATTAATATTTCTGCTCTAAAATGCGGCTTTTATTCGAGGGCGGCGTTTGTTCGAATAAATACGTTAAGCTAATTACCAAAAGATGAAAAGTTACTTAACCTGGAAGATATGATTTTCAAAATGCTTACACTCGGTATGAACCCTTAAAATTGTACACGTAGATTCGGGAAAAGTTCCACGCGAAACTTTAATTTGCTAAAACTTATCTTTTTGTTGACATCGCGTAGGCCTCCGATACCTGGCCATAGTTAATTGCAATTACGCTGGTATCGAAACGATATTTTTTGTTCTAGCTAATCCTTCAGGCTAATTGTTCAAGTTGTTTTGAAGTTGCAGTTACAAATTGTTGTAGCTTGTGTCAGTCTGGTAGTCTCCCTTAACATAAACTCCACGTCATGCCAGTTGTTTCGAACAAGCTTAGTACTAGAAGTAATATTCAACCTCAGCCGTTCTGCCAGAAAAAACCGTGGTATCATTTGTGAATGAACAATGGAACTTTTAATTAGGTTGTTTACGAACTCTATTTGTAAGCTTTTTTAACTAACTTTTATATTTTAGCATTTGTTACGGGTACGGATCACGTACTAAAGTACGACGCAACTTTTCCGTGCGCACGACCATTGGTGTTTGACACTCGTGCAGGTTGAACCTTCGTTACATCCATTTGGTCTTCTGAAACACTAAAAGGTTTGACTTCACTAATCCTTCGGATTAGGTTCTTAACCCTGTGCACAAAGTTGTAAAGTTCTTTGTTCTGTGGTTTCCAAAACCAACAGTCTCAAACAATCACGGTACGTTGCGAGGCATTATATTTTCGGTACTTTAAGCGTCGCTTGTAGGAAACGTAGTCCAGTTGCTGACCCTAGCCGAGAATAAAAGTCATAACAACCATAGTTAGTAGAGGAGACTCCTCTACTAACTATGTAACAACATACCATAAGTCTACGCTGTTGAAAAGTAAGACCACACTGTTGTGAAGTAACCTGCAACACTTTTCTGCCCTTAGATTTTTGTGAAAGTTTTTAGTTTAGGCTAATTTTGTGAAATCCCGAGGAAGACCTGGAGACTTTCATTTAATAAACTTGGACCACAACGTTAGGATAACTTTCTTCCTTAATCTTTGTTTGGTAATGAGGTGCATTCGTGCATGCAATGACTTATTAATTGACGGCTCTCGATGGGGTCCACAGCCAACTGTCAAAAAATCGAAAATTCACTGTTAAACCATTAAACAATAGCATGTTAAAGTGGTATCCCCGGGACTTTGTAGCCAGCGGTAATAGTACGCTCTCAATACACTTCTGATTGAAAACATACAGTAAGAAACTATTTGATTTCGCTAAAAGAAAAAGAAGTTTGCCCAATTAGCAATTTCTTTCAATTTTTTAGTGGGCTTTAAACAATCGACTGACATGGACTATGAAGATGACATCCGCTAAGGTTGTCGAAACGTCAGTCACTTTTACAGACAATAATCCTTCCAGGACTCCCTCGGACTATGATGCCACACAAACAGTTACTAAAGATAATTATGCAAATAATAATAATAACAATGATAATAAATCATTGTCTGTAAATTTGTTTCTTTACCGAGCTCAAAACTTACCATTTTTCTTATTCTATTTACAGACATGACGCCAACGACATCGCTGATCCTGGCAGTATGCAAGACGTGTGTCATGTATGAACTTCGTAATGGACCTCGCTCACCATAGAGTCTCTGTGGGTCAGTGGTAGAGCATCGGAGGTCTGAGGTTTGATTCTTTGTCCCACGCTGGTGATGACACGAAAAACATAATTCTCAAATAATGATAATGTTTATAAATAACAAATAATAAAGATAACAATAACAATGATAACAACTGAAAGGTAGAGGAAAAACGACAACAACACGAACGGTTTAAAAACGTATCTGGAAGAGGAATTCATTAAAATGTTTGTCGGATGTCTACGTCTGTTTGCGGAATATGCGTAACTGCACACTCGTTACGATAGAAATACATTAAAAAAAGTCCAAATCAGACTGAAAGATTTATCCGCTACTAGTAAAAGGGAATTCGTCTAATTGGCCGAGATGCATTTTCATATAACAATGTAATGTGAGAAGTACGGTTGACCGTTTTCAGTAATTTTCCAATGGCAGCAGAACAGGTTCTTGTCAATCTTACCCGCCAGTACTCAAACATAAATCACAAATATAACAAATACTGACCAATCACTTGCTCAATAGAAGAAATCAAAACTAAGTGTTATATCCAAAACGCCAAAATAAATTTTGGTATAAAATGAAATAACTCCGTAAACACAGCTGCCGGCAGAAACGTAACCCGCATTAGAAACGGAGGGAGATTTGTTTGAGTCGTATGCGATCAGTAGGAGCAAAATGCTGCAAGCTGTTGAAGTTTTTTAGTTTGAACATTTTATGCGTCTCCATGCAGCATTAAAAAAGAGATTTTATTGAATTTTACGATGGAATTATACCATACCGTACATGTTTTGTTCTTTTCTTTGATGTTTTGTTTTCATGCAGAGGTAAGTCAAACAGGCCTCGCCATAATTCTGGTGCTTTACAAACACTAGTTAAATGCATGACAACAAATTTTAATGACTTGATTTTTATTCTCAATTTAATTTCAGAACTATATCGCTGCTTTATCGTTCCCCGGCAAAGGTAGGGATAAAAATCAACAAACGATTTAAAGACCTATCACAAAAGTAAAAAAGGGGGCAAAATAATGCCATTCAATTTTGCTCGAAAATTATGCAATCAAGGTGGAATCATAGCTAAGCAACGGGTTGTAGTCCTACAGATCATTAATTTCCCAAGAAATCACATTACCGAACCTCAATGTTCCACGAGAAATGGTGTTAAGCTTTTTGGAAAATTCTCCCCCTTTCTTGAGTAAACAAATTTAATTGCTAAATGTTTGATCATGAAAATGTCATGAGCAGATTGCTCCTTATTCATTATCATTCTTTATGCGGCTAACCTTTTTTTTAGAGAAATATTTTTTAGTGTAAAACTTGAAAATAAGAAAAGACGAGTATCTTATTCATTCATCTTTTTATTCAACTTGAGATTTTTGAGACAATAATGAATCGCGAAACGAAACAAACACTTGGAAAAAGAAAATAAGCTTTCGCTCCGTTAGTTATGGGAAAATTTTCATCTTGCCAAGCTGACATATCGATGTTGACAAGTTCAATCTAACGAGTTTAGATTTCTTTCACAAAGTGATTTCACTTCCGTCGTTTCGTTGTTTGGTTGAGTTCTATTTTATATTTGAAATGAAAGATCACGTTCATGTCTAGTTCATTAGTTTTGTTTGCCAAATTTTTATCGAAATGGCAATCGAGTCATGTTCCTTTCCCATACTTTTGTCATTATACAATTATTTACAAACAGATGATTTCTTGGTGGAGTGTCAACTTAGCTCAAAAGATGTTTCTTTACCAAAGGATTGCAATTACTAAAAGCATTTTAAAACTCTTAGGAGCCCCTAAGTCAAGCCTGTGATTTGGTTCTCAAGCCTGCTCAAATAAAATTTAAGAAAGTCGCAGTGTAAAGTGATATTTTTTTCCATGTGTATTTAAAATACGATAGAGCCGTTTTTCTCAAGTTTTAAAAATGTATCAATATCAGTCAGCTCGTTCTATTTAAAAGTCAATTTTTCCATTAATTTATAGCTAATTCTTTATTATTATCATAAATAAATCGGCTTTCCTCCATTGAAGCTATTTTATGGCGGGTTTCTTCGAAACCGCGGTTTGGGTGAGACCTCGTGAAAATAACGGGCCCTCTGAGTGTTCTCAAAGTGGGTTATTAAGCCGGTAAAACGAAAGAAACTGCGTTCTATCGCTTTAATAGAATAAGCATAAAACAAATGAAAAATCTTTTTTGTGTTTTTCTGCATACTATTCCGCATAACTGTGCAAATAGCGGATAAACATTTAAAACACTGAAACACTTGCATTGATGAATGTATTCGGACTGTTACCCACACACGTGTGAAGAAGACGTGCTGTCATCCAAAAAATCTCATTTCAACCATATCACTCTCAAGAAGTTCATGGCGTCCGCCCTTTAATTCTTATGATGCCAGTTTTGAGAATTTAGCATTGGATCAACTTACAATTTCCTTATTGTTATTTTTCTTACTGATATCATGAGGATAAATTCTGTCTTGGTCACTCATGGGAGTTTTCAGGGTTAAAAATCTACCTCTCATCCTCAAACGTCTCATTTATTTTTCTCTTAGTTCTATTTTGTCGCATTGTTTTTAGACCCTTGTGACAGTGGCTGGCTAAATTATCAGACCATATGCATCAAATATTTCCCAGAGAAAAGGACTTGGAGTGAAGCCAGAGAAACATGCCGTGACTATGAAGGAGATCTGGTGACTATACACGATAGAAAGAAACAGACGTTTGTTTACAAAAATTTTGCTGTAGACAGAACTCTATGGATCGGCCTTATGAGAAATGAAGAGTATGTTACTTGAGTAGTACGTCGATAATAAAGATAATAATCATGATAGTAGTCTTGATATTGATGATGGTGATAGAGCGTATTTCGATTGAGTGTCGTAAAACCTATATCAGAGAAATCACATCGACCAATCAGATGAGAGGAAATATCACATAGAGCCAATGAGAACGAAAAGTGAAAAAAACAAACAAAAACAAGAGAGAAACCGCGGGAAAGCGTGAGTGACAACTCGCGATTTGTTTTTAGTTTTGAATCTGATTGGTTAAGAGGATTGCGTGAGGTTTCTGGACCAATCACTTGGATAAGGAAAGAAAAATCAATGCAACAAAGCGTTAATTTTATCAATAAATTCAAAATCACCTTAATGATAATAACAGCAATTATACACGGAGATAGGTTAAGGTAGATATGTACCTCTGCACACGCAGATATTATTGCATCGCCTGAGGAACATTTTGCTGATAGGCTGATATTTTTGGTCTCAAATTATATGACCTTGGTTCTGGAATTTGTTATCGTTTGGGGAGTCAGTGTTATGACTAAATTTTATCTTGAGTAAATCGATGCGTTTCTCATGAAACAAAACACTTAGTGATTACAGAGAAAACTATTTCAAGGAAACTTCTAGTTTTTCATTTTTCATTTTTTCTTCCGGTACAGTTTCCATCATAGCATTTCTCTAATATTTATTTGGTCATTTTTTAATGTCTTATTCTTTTTTGTTTTGTTTTGTTTTTGTTTCTCAAAACTTCTCCTCAAGTAACGTGTTCCAGTGGGTTGATGGCACAGAGCTTACATTCACAAACTGGGTCACTAGAGCCCCCGACAATTTGGATGAGAAGTGTGGAGAAATGACGAGTTATTCCAGTTTTTACGGAAGATGGAACGACAATTCGTGCAGAAAACAACAAGCATTTATTTGCCAGACAGGTTGAGTATTTCATTAATACTGACGTATTTCAAATTCCCTCAGCAGTGAGTGCTTTTTTTTTCAAGAAGTGAAAGTCGTAAAGGATTGCTAGGTGTGTGTCCATGATTCACTCTGCATCTTTGGCCACGTCTCACCTTTCTCGCGCTTTCCCACGCTTTCCCGCGCTTTGCCGCGCTTTCCCGCGCTTAAGAATGGCCACTTGTCAAAGCCTCGAGATCTGTTCGGATAATCACATGGAAAACGCGAGTTTCCAAGAATGTATTGATTTAGTTTCGCTTTTGATAAGACTCGAGGCACGCTATTGGTTTTTTTCCTTTTTTTTGACTAGAAGATCGTAAAACGAGTTTTAAACCATTGCAATCCCAGATTAGTGTCGTCACTCCATTGAAATTACTCTTACATCTAATTCAAAGTTATCGTGGTTTTTGTTACAGAAATAAGGTACAACACCATCTTCAGACGGTTACCGGGAAAAGAACTTCTTGGTCACGCGATAAGCCATCTCAAAGTAAGGAGTGACGTTGAATGCATGTTGCGATGCCAAAGACATCCCGGATGTAAATCGATAAACTATGTTCGCAGTAATTCAGAGTCAGACGAGCAAAGAACATGCGAGTTAAATGAACAAGTAAATGGAGCTTTGTCGGAAATCCTTCATGGAAAGGAGGAGTCTTGCCACTTTGTAGTCGTTTAAAGATTTCTAAGAGGAAAAAGCCATCAAGAATACTGTAAACAAATATCACGTCATGATCTACGTGGCAAGAGAGAGTCACAATAATCAAAGTACATCTAGAGTAGAGTAATTTTCAATTAACCATCGAAAGCAATTGGGAACTGCATTCGTATTGGTTGACTTCGCTCTGTGATTGGTCGAGAAAACTCGTACCATTCTCCCAACCAATTAGATGCAAAACTTACACCAATCACCACTTGTTCGCCCACGTTTTCCCGCTCTTTAGGCGGTTTGTTTTATCTTGCTCTGAGTTCTAATTGGTTCATTAGGGCATTTTCCTTTATTCCAATTGGCCGTTGTAAATACTTTGGTTTTGGTTTTGCGCGCGAAACTTAAATGAAAGGGCTCTTCGGATGAATTTTGGGAGAGTCTGCTTAACCCATATCTTAAGGACAATCGAAGCTTCACTTTCTCATGATAAAGTAATATATGACTTACAAATTTGCATTTTATATACGTGCCGTGCAGAAAATCGATAACTAAAACGTGTACATAAGCTTACTTGAATACCTATGAATGTACATATTAGATAGATTGATACAGATATTGTGAATGGTGTTACACAATCAATAAACAGAATGGTTTAAAAAAGGTCGTAAAAATTCGGATCAATGTTGGTATCGGAGCAACTTTGCACTTACCCCTCCCCTTAACCAAAATTAAAGCTAGCTTTTTATAAGTGGACTGGGTTAAGGGAGGGGTAGGTGCCCAACTGCTCAGATGCTGACCTTGAAAAATTTATAAAGTTAGGCTGGAAAGTCAGTCTGACTCCTTGCGATTCTTATGATTTTGATATTTTCCGTTTGGAACCCTGAAATTTTAAATTGAAAGATTAATATTTCTCGCTGTTTTATTTGAAAATTAAGTCTAAACCCAAATATTTTCCGCAGATTTCCGGAGTCATTTCGAAGAGTTCCGACATAGCCTCTAATCTTTCCCCTCTAAAATCAAAGGCTAACGAGAGAGTACAGTCATTCTGATGAATTCAGGAAACTTGGGATCGAAACCCAACTCGAAAAACGTGGGTAAGTGTAGGCCTGTTGGTATGTAAAACGAGAAACATGAGAGGCTGAGAAGGAGCTAAGAGTCTGGGAACGAAATACTTGCAACCTGGCCTTGTCATAGGAATGCCTGGTAAATACTTCAAAGATTGAAAGCTTTACTTGCAGATATTAATAACAATAATCGAAATTATGTGTTTTGGTAAAGGGAGTAATGGATATCATTCCTTAGATCGTTACTCAGCCACAGCTGGACTATCAGCTGCTGGATTTACGGCGATAATTCCAGGTTTTTATCGTTCTGTCGCTAGCGTTTTGCAGGTTCCACGGTCGCGAGCCGCCATGTTTATCACCCCAGCATTTTGCGGGAGTATCACTTGTTTGTCATGGCAATATCTGGTTTCTAATCCGATAAAAAGGCGTAAACTGGAATGTGTTTCATGTGCAGCTATCAGAGGATCACTGATTTTGGGTCTCAGCGGCTGCTTGTTACCGTCAGTTTTAATAGCATCGTTACACTTTGAGAGAAACACAGGTGTACCTAAGCCTCTCTTCGCTTCTTTTCTTGACTTTTGTTATTCTCCGTATTACGGCCGATCGAAGGCGTATATCATTGGACTTGGAGTATTTCAAGCGGTGCTTGGGTATGGACTGGCCATCTGGGTTTACAAAGACGAGTTCATTTACAGGAAGAATGATCCTAGTTGATTAAGACTGTAGGTTGTAAAGAACTATTTATTTACTAGTTTTTATTAAACATATTGTAAAGATGCTTGGTCATAGACGAACAATTTCAGAGTAAAAACGTTGTAAGCATTCTTTTTCATTGGGGGATCAAGGAGGGTGGAAAACAAAACCAATGTTGTCACCCTCCCTTCCCTTAGAAAAGGATAGAAACCCTGATTCCTTCATCAAGAACCTTATAAAAGGCTAAAAATTTGATTTTTTTCAAGAAGGTGGGGAAACTAAACTATGTTTGTAACTCCTTCCTCCCCCTTAGGAGAGGACAGAACTCTTTATTCCTTCCCTAGGAAACCTTTGAAAGGCTAAAAGAATTTTCTTTCAAGAACATAAACTCATTTTTTGTGTGTGTAATATTTGTTGATAAATTTTTCTTGTGAGCCATGCCAGTTTACATGTAGCCTGGATCAGTTCTCTTATCTCTCAATACGAATATATGTTTGCAGGACAAAACATTTTAAAAAACAGTTCTAACAATTCAGTTGCATAGTCTGATTGTCCAGACAAAAGTAACATGTAGCACATGTATGTAATCTTAGTGTATTCTATGTTTACTTGTAAGTGGTCTGCAAGATTTCAGGCTTCCCAGTTAATGTTCCCTGACCTCAACTGTAGCTTACCTGTGAAGATTAATTTTCAGATTGTCTTTAATTTTTGCAGGCAATATCAATAAAAAAGATATTTGAATTACCAACAATTATTGGTAATTCAAAACTTACCAATAGACTTAATCTTTGTTATGTTACATACCCATCTTGGATAACCTTTCTTTGTTATTTCAACTGTACTTGAGCCACTTAAACTTGTACCAACACCACTAGACTGTAAATTTATTATCATAAATCTTTAATAACTTTCAAAATATCTTAAATATAATTGCAACAATCTTCTCATCTTCTAAGACAGTTAAAAATAATTTTGCAAATACATTCCCTCCTGCAAACACACTTTGTAAGCAACAGCATGTAAATTTAACATTTCACATAGTAAAATATAAATGGATATTGGGGGATGTTAAAATATAAGGCCACTCTAGGGTACGAATTTTATCTTCAGGCACTGATAGTATTTCTCAAAGTGTCAAAGTACAGTAAATGATAAAAGAAGTAACTTTTTAAAGAAACTGTGGGGGTATTAACCCTTTAACTCCCATGAGTGACCAAGACAGAATTTCTCCCCACAATATCAATGCAAAACCAACCAGATGAGTGATGAGAATAAAGAAAAATATCAATTTAGGGATAATTAGTTGATCCAATATTAAATTCTCTGCTCTAACATTATAAGAATTGTATGGCTGACAGTAAGGAGAATGACAAATTTGATCTGGGAGTTAAAGGGTTAAAAAATAATTTGGTTTTATCGACTCAGTTGATTATGTAAATTGGCCACTGAAAAGAGTATCTAAAGCTGATGTATCTAGTCACTGCCCTTCTATTTGTTCTGACGAGGGGTTAATGCTTGGAATGGCAGTGGCCAATTTATATTATCAACACAGTTGACAAAACCTAATTATACATTAAAAGATAGATACTGTTAGCTCAAGAAGACAAGATTCATAGGTGCAAATGGCCCTGGTAAGTTCTAATTCTGTATGTGCAGGAACACTGAGTGTGATGACTGCCCACACACATATGTACATGTACATGCACTCTGTAGCTGACTTGTAAAAAACACCTTTCCTTATAGGATTTAAAAAATAAAGTTACAGTTACAGTTAAATTTTAAACCTCAGTAATTAAATTTCTTTTGCTTTTAAAATCAAAGGCTTTAAATATACCATTAATCAAGACCACATATTGAGACCTTCACTGAAAAAATATAAATATATATTACAGTTTCTCTTTACTGTGTTTGCTGAATATACTGTATCATAAATGTCATAAGTGACAGGAAAAATTTAAAGTGACTTTTGAACTACTTCTGGTTTAATACACATAGTCAGGTAAAGTTTGAAAAATAAGACCCTGAAATTCTTGGCTACCAAAAACAAAATTACTATTCAGTTGTGTATAAACTGTTGTCAATGTCTTTTTATGTTGTAAAGATACTAGCCTGTAAGCAGGCCCTCATATTTGCACTGCAGGATAAGTGTTTCTCTATCTGCAGGAAGATTTGAGACAAGTTGGGAAAGGTTTGCACAGACCACTTTCAGATTTCTTGCTAGTTGGCATCATTCAAAGCCTCAAACTTTCTCACAGACAAAGAAACATTTATACTGAAGCAGTAATAAGAGGGGCTTGCTCACTGGCTACTTAAAAACTACAATCATTTCTGAATAACAAGTCAAATCAAAACAGGTCATCATCACCGCATGTGTCATATTGTCAGACAGCTTGGTGATGCAAAACCCTCTGAGCATTTTTTTTTTTACTGTCTCTACTGAACTGGAGGATGTCAGCTCACCACTATCCCTTACAAAATTATTACATAGTTATGGACAAGGCAATTGGAACAAAGAAAATAATAAAATGCACATGAAGGAGTCACTTCATCAGAAATCATATGACTACCAAGTTTGATTTCACGGTCAGCAGCTAACACACTTAAGACTCACTGGGGAGCTGGGCCATGAGCAAGTTATTTTCTTTAAAGTTCCAAAACCTCAGAACCACATTGTAATCTGTGTGGGATGATGTATAGAGTGTGGAGGACAATAAGGAGGGCTTCAATCTTTGACAAAATGATACATTACCAATGAAATCCCAATACTCTGAAATAAGCATAACAATTTTATCTCTTAGACCCATAATTCACCCCCCCCCTTCCCCACTAGCATTGATACAATGCACTCTGTATTCTGTGACTGTATAGTTTTAAGTGATGGAAGGGGGGGCATAGTATGGAAAACTGCATTTCAATTCGCACATCATTTTGAAACAATTCCTCATAAGTGGCTCCATGAAATTTGTCACAGATTGTAGCCTAATGAAAGGCATGTAAATCATGAAATGATTTATGATGTTAATGATTATTCAACCAACAGCAGCCATGCGCTGCAGGACAGGTAATAGTCAATCCTGTGGTAAAATGTCTGCGTGACACATAGGGCATTTGTCTTGCACATAGAGCCATTTTCTTAAGCACAAACTATGAAAGAAATGATTACATTTAGTAACTTTAGCCCTATCTAACACTTCATAACATATGCAGCAGACATCATTTAGTTGCTCTAACTGTTCTTCAGTGGCCCACTGCAAGGAGTTGAGTCTCTTAACTGCATTGCGTCGCAATAGGAAATTATTCCATCCTTCTTGAGCTCGCTTGTAAACATTGAAGTAAGCATGCATTGAAATTACCAATGCACCTAGGGGGGGAGAAAAGAGAAAATTAATACTTTACACACTAACATCAATATCTATTTTCTCCATATTTGACTCTGTATACATTATATTTAAAACAGACTAAGAGAATTCATTTAATAATCAAAGCTTGTTAGGTCAGTGATGATTCCCTTTATTCTAATGATCTTAATGAATGATTGTACAGATACATGTACATGTAAATTAGACACTGCCCACCCTTAGGGTTTAACCCTTTAACTCCCATGAGGGACCAAGATAGACTTTCTCCTTACAATATCAATACAGTATCCACCAGATTAATGATGAGAATAAGAAATATATCAATTAACGGATAATTGGTTGATCCAACACCAAATTCTCTGAACTAACATTATAAGAATTGTATGGTTAACTGTAAGGAGAATTACAAATTTGATCTGGGAGTTAAAGGGTTAAGTTAATTTCAATTCATTCTAATTACAAGTCTTCATGAAAATTTGCCTTCTTGAATTTTGGTCATTGTTAAATCTGCAAAATCAAAGATTTTGCATGAAAACAAAATGCAATGTTTTGTGTGGGAGAGAAAACTTTGGGTCATTTTTCCCTTTTGGAATGTCAACTATGAGGTAGGATTATCTGCAAAAAGTTTCCCAGTGTCCAAAATATTCATTCCCATTACTGTTAAGCGATACAACATATGCAACTTATTAACAAGTTACAAGTACAGGGCCTTTACAGTTAAGATTCTTACCAATATAGTTCCACTCCCCAGTTAAGGTAGCCCATGCAGTGTATCCAAGGACAACCACAGCAACTAAGAACTCAAAAACTTTTGAGCCAGCATTAATGTAATAAACATAGTCATCTAGATCCTTCATTTGACTTTCTGAATGTACATTGGACACAAAAAGTCCATAAATTATCAGTGAACCCATCACTTGAACAATCGTCACCAAGTTACTGGATATGATAACAAACAACCATGCATCAAAAGTGAACATTTGGCACAGAACAATGATCATGTATCCAGGAAGTACCAGAATCAACAAACACACTCCTAATGTGCGCAAGTGTTTGCTGGTGAAAACACCAGTGTATGTTGCACCCAATGACATGAGAGCTGGTTCTGCAAGCTCATACATAGATTGCAAGAACAAGGAGAGTGTGACAAACAAGACCAGGCCTATAAGCATAAGGCGCTGCTGCGTGGGTACGCTAGAAATTCCAACTTGAACACTCAAAAGAAAGAATGAAACGCTATTGTTCCACTGTTCCTGTTGACGCTCCTCCATTGGTCGTTCAATATTTCCTTTCATCAGCGTGCTAGTGAAGTCTAGTATAAGATTTGCTACAAATCCAATGATCAGACTTGCCCCTGCCAAATCCAGAAGGCTATCAAAGCAATAAATTAAACTTCCAGAAAAAGCAATAGGAAAACTATGGGTTCCAATCAACAAAAGATTGAATAAAGCCAAACATTTCATTAGCCAAGTTATCATTAGAACTTGGCCTAAGTTCACCCTTCTCCAGTGGTATACAAAGAAGTCCAACCATCCAAAAGTGATGACAATTCTGCATGTATCCTTAATCAGCCCTGGAACCTCCTGTAGTAGTTGCAGGATGCCAAGACAAGCTTTGTAAGCCTGAATTACTGTAGCAAATACAATATAACCCAGGCAGACATTGCGCAGAATTGAAGAGGCTTTGACAAATGGGAGTGAGAGAAGCTGAATGATAACTGGAAAAATGATGAAAATTCCAACAGTTTGCTTGGCGCTAACAGCTGCCCATTTGCGTGGAACAATAGCAACACTAACAGCGACAAAAACCTGGGCATATAACAATGAATAGCCATAAGTCACATCAAGATGAGATGACACATTTGGATTTGAACTGCTCCATAAGAAATCTTCCTTAGCATCTGAAGGACCATATGCTACAATGGCAGCAAATGCGACAAGAAGAACAACTTCTTCAATTAACCAAACGAAGAATTTCTGGAGATAGCTCAAGTTTGTTATTACACCAATTGTACCCACAAGCCCACAAATAACAGCTGCAATGCAATGTAGAAGGCATATATAAATGAAGTAATAGAGAAATATAAAGTGTGATTCATTTGAGAGCCAAAGCTGAAAAAATTTACAACTATGTAACCTAATAAATAAAGATGTTTTTCATCTTGTCACAGGTGTGGGACAAAGAAAAAATTCTGAGTCCTCACGAGGAGTTGAACCTCAGCCCTAAGGATTCTGTGCTCCGATGCCACCATCGACTACAGAGACTACACGGTGAGCGAGGTCTATAATGAAGTTCATATGACACGTGTCCTGCATACCGCTAGGATCAGCAATGTGGAAAGTATCTACAAGACGCTCATGACAAGACAAAAAACATTTTTCTTTATTTTTTCTTCACTAAGCTCAAAATTTACCATCTCTCTTTTTTCTGTCTTTATAAACTAATTATACAACAGTTAAAATGAATTTAAGTCAAAATGAGTTTACCATTGTTAATTTTTGTATTTTGTTTGTTACAGATCAATTAACATAGAGGGCGGCAAAGGGTTCCTGTGCAGCACCTGATAAAGCCCAAAATTAATACATGATGTGATAATTTTCAAACAGGCTAGGTAAGGTGAGATTTGAAGTTTTATCTTTAAATTTTTGGCACGTGAAATCCTGTTTAAAGTACACCTGACTTCCTGCATGAAACAAAATGAGGAGCCCCCCTCCCTTTTGCTATCCTCTTCAGTAAGACATGTAAATCCCAGATGTCTACAAAATGTGCTAAGAATGAAAAAGTGGCACATGAGGCAAAACTGAGTGTCTCACTGATCTTACCATATCAGGAAGTCTTTTGTGATCTACTACTGAACAGGTGCATAGCAACACAAAACCTATTTGTTTGATATGATAAAGAAGCAAAACGTTGCTTGAGTTGGTTGTGTCATCCATGCATCTGACCTCCAATAGATCATGGGTAAGGACCAATCAAAATGTGTGTATATGATTTTATATATATATATTTCCATACACTCAACCAGGAGTATATGTTTTTCCACCCAGCTAACATGCTTCTGACTTAGCAAGATACCACTTTCCTGACCAATTGGTGACTCACTGGTCCACCTCGAATACATCGAAAAGGGTTCTAATAAATCCCATACTGCATTCTGTTCAAAGCATTAACGCATCCGAAATAACATTCGAGGTTGATTTTGTGGACAATATTAAAGAGAAATAATCAAATGACCCTCAAATGCATCTTAATAATATACTTATGGTCACTAGAAAATCTCAACGTACATACCTGCAATCTCATGCGATGGTTTGGAGCCTTCGCCAGAACCTTGAACAATCTTGTCAAAGTAAGTTCCCAGTTGTAAGACAAAGCAGAATGGTACCCTTAAAATAACATTTTCGTATCTAAAATAGTACGTCTTCATTGAAGACCACAACGTTGAAGGTTCCATTCTTGCTTTCTAGCAAGAGTGGCATTAAAATCCTTCATGTGACAATCGATAAAAACAGAGATGACGAGCCTAACGCGAAGTCGACCAGCGGACGGTAGTTCAACTTGCTAGGGTAGGGAGTAGGGATGATATCACACAATTTCTTTCGATGCTTTCAGTTTTCTACTTTTGTCATTTAAATAGACTACCTGATTTTTTTTCATCAGTTCTTGCACGATAACCAAAAAGTTGCGTTACTTGTTCCAATATTTTTATAAATTTAAGGAAATTTTATTTCAGAGTCCCTTCTAGCCCACCCTAAAATTCTCATTTGCTGCATTGGTCCCAGGCTCTTAACTGTTTTTGTAACAATCAAGATGGCGGCTGTCATGATTGCAAGCTCGATCAAATTACTACGCGAAAGTTTACCTATAAAAACTTACTGGTAGATTTCATTCAACTGAAGATACATGCGTAAAGATGAGTTCTGTTGCACTGCACTGGATCAAGAACCTGGAAGAATTTCAACGTTCACCAGACACTTTTCTGAAATCCAGAGAGATCACAGCGCACCACTTTGTTTTGGACATCCTTCAGGTAAATTTCACTTGTTACTCTGCTTTCATGCGAAGGAACTGAAATCACCGATTTGATTTTCCTTCCCGCAGGTATCGTAGTTTAGGAAACTAGCAAGCTTAATTTAATGGCATCAACTGACATCTTCTGAATTTCCTTTAGGTTCTCTATCATGAAAATCTTCCTGAAAATGTGAAGCTTCAGATGTTGTTTCTTCTTCAAGAAAAGGTGCTTACATATCGTGGCATTGTTACCACTGACACTTGATCGTTTGTGCATTTATCCGTCTTTTTCACTTTTTGCTTTTATGAAATTAATCCATGATGTATTTTCTAGGTTTCAAGTCTTTTCCTTGATTTGATAAGGTACATGTACAGAACTGCTAGTACACTCATGACTGTCTATTTTCGAGAAAATCAGCGACTGGTGATTGTGTAATGAGGAGTGCTCAGTTTTTGCTGATCCCCCACCCTTACCCACTCTGAACCCTTTCACTTTCAAGATCTCAATAGTAATTCTCCTTTCTTTCTGCTACACATTCCCACAGTCTTAGTTGTGAGAATTTGGTGTCAGATCAAATAATAACGCTAAAGTTGATAATTAACTCATCTCTCAATAATTATCCTTGCACACATTCATGTTCTTCTACCATCTTCTTCCTCTTATTTTCATGCTTCTGCTTTTGTCTTCAAATTACAGTGTAGAATGTGCAGTACAATCACTAAAGGAAATGTTTCTTCCTGCACATAAAGCCATGCTTGAGCTTTACACAGCCCAGGTATAGTATAGGTTTAGTTGGAATATATAGAAAGAAACACAGCTTCTGATGGACTTGGTGCTGTAATTTGGTAGTTAAAAGACAATTTATTGCTACTAAATGTTCAATTTACAGCACAGCATGTGACTACTGGTAATTCTAAGTAATGAAAAAAGGGTCTAATCCTAAACCTAGGTAAAGGTCATTGTTTGCTGCTTTTGGAGTAGGACACTAAACTTTCACTGCTGCATTGCGTACATTTATTCAAGAGTAAAGATGAATATCAACAAATTTTCACAATTTGAATAATATGACAACATGCTTGCAAGGATATTTTCCCCTTTAAGAGGAGAAAATACTGCATCCTCTTGTCTTTGTCAATTGTGGACTACAGATATGCCATCTACAGCAGAGCTGAAAGTAGATTTTTTTTTCTAAAGAGAAGTTTCTTGTTAGTTATGGGGTTGTCTTATATAATATTATGTCTTGAGTTTTCACCTTGTATGTTCATTGTATATTTTACTGTTCTCACAGACATCAAGTAGCTTTTACCCAAACAGCAATGCTTCAAGGTAAATATTGTAAGGCTGTCATTTTAAGCTTTCATTCCCAGTACATCAATCTCCCTTGAAGTTTATTATAAAAAAAAGCTTCATCAGTTTGCTCTACAGTTGCAATGTTTCAGTTGTTTTGTAATTTAAAGGGAAGAATTGATTGATGGAAATGTCCACTTCATTACTGTAGGTTATTATGGGAAGAAGCTAGAAAGAAAGTAAGATTATGGCAAGATAAGGATGAACCCTTTCCACCCTAAAATCAGTATGCCTTTTCTCCATACTGCTCTTTATACATTTCCTTAGGTGCTGACAAGGAGAATTTGTTTACCAATCAAAAGCTTTTTTCTTTGATGATCATTTCCTTTGTTCTCATGACCTTAATGTGTGATTCAGGGGTGATGTTGAATGGAGAAATTTGATGCTGGTCTCGTTAAGAGTTTTGTCTTCTTTTTATATCAATCCATTTTCAGGGCAGACTCAAATCCAAGTTCAAGGAGGGATATGACTCCTTATTCCCTGGTTGCTCAGTCATCTCAGATTTATCTCAGTCAGGTACATGTATTTCCTTTGTCTGATATTGGTGGCAAACTTTTATTTTATGCAACATGAAGAAAGACTTTATATTCTGTTCCTTGAATAGGGCCAGTTGTTTGAAGGCTGGTTGGTGCTAACCCAAGGTTAAATTTTAATGCGGGTTTCTTTATTCCTTTGCGGAGAAGCCTTTTCGGAATAATTTTCTCTATTCCTTTTTTTTATTGCATCACATAATCAAATTCTGCATAAAAGGAAGTATACTAAATTTCTTGTTTATGCCTTAATATTTCACACTAATCCTGGGAGAACTTAATCCAGCTTTGAACAACCCAGTCCTGATTTGCAGGTGTAGGATATATTTTGCAAAATAGAGACAGCAGATTTATTTTGTTGCTCAATACGTAATAATTTTATATTAGTTTTGTTGTTTTTAGATTTTGGTTACAGGAACCGTCATTCTTATCTCAAAGGAAACTCTGGTAGGTCATTTAGTTTTGACTTTACTTGTAGGATGCATTTTAAACATAGAGGTAACTTACCACTGACAGCACTTACATGTACAGTGTAACCATTAGACATCAACCATTCTGTAAAATGTGCTCTTGACTTTGGTATGTTTGCCATTGTTTATTTATTATTCCAAACAATTTTAATGCTGGGGCTATTTTCAATTTGTGGATGATTTTTAATCAGTCACACAATAATTATTATGCAGTGCTGGGTATTACTTACTGTTTAATGTGAAATCTCTTTGAATTTGTGTATTTACAGGAAAACAATCAAGAGGTTTTTGTTGATTTTGTTGAAGTCCTGACTGATGTCATAGATGTGGTTAGTAATTTTAATTTCATATCAGTCTGTAACTAATTTTTCTAGTTTATGGCTAATATCTTTGTATGGTTTGGCTACAATACAAAGTAAATCATTTAATAGTGATAACTTTACATACATATACACTTTTGAACAATTTATATAATAATTGTATCACTAATCACCTCACTGTGCAATTGGTAATGATCCTCTGGACGATGATGAAGTGTTAAATGAAATGAAGATATTGTGACTACTTACCTCTTGCATTTTGCTTCCTTTTGGGCCATGTGGCTTTTTATAGCCCAGTGCCCAGCTTTTTTCCTTGTAGGCCAGAGCCTGTGTAGTCACACAGTCAATAAATCATAATATTGCTTGAGAATGTATACTGTAAGCTTTTGTCATGTACAACTGGTGAAGTATTAACTGATCTCTACTTTTGCTTTGGAAGTCCTAATTCCATAACTCTGTTTTAACAGGTAAACAACCCTTTCAATCTACTTGTGAGGAGAACTGCTTGTGACTGCCTTTGGGAACTAGAAATGTCATATCCAGTAAGTTATTACTGGTTCTTTTTATGTGCATTCTTTTAACTCCTTTGAAGCTGAAATAATAATTATTATGTAGATGTTATGGAATGGCTGCAAACATGTGCAGCATAAAGCTTAGATACAATATACAACACAGTATTTAAGTTAACATACATCATAGTCTGTCAAGACATGCAGTATGAATGGTCAATGAAACAGGCCATATTTCACTGTACCCTTGCTAAATTCAAAAGTTGGTTTGAATTGAAATCTTCCTGCTCTATTTAAACCCAGAGGTATGATAAATATGTTACTGACCTCGTTTTTTCAATCTGTACTGTAAGTTATGGAAGCTGGTTTTTTTTGCAGTATTTATACATACAGGTATGGTGGTGTATGCCTGAACAAAATAGATGCATTGATCTTTAATTATAATCTTTTACATGCAATTTTTATTCTTAATTGTCAGATATGAATTTAATAATAATTATAAAATTAATGTACCACCTCACCTGCTGTTCATGAAGTTCATGAACAGCCAGCCTGATTGCTATTCCTTTACATTAGAATATTTACTGACAAGCAAGGACAAGTATGCTCAATTTCTTGCATGTAAAAGAACAAAATGATAGTCATGCCTGCCATTATGAAAGAGGTCAACAGGTCTATGTGTCAAGTAGCTTTTTCTCTTTCATATTGTTCAAGTAATCTAGATTAATCATTTTTAATGATTTAAATTCAGTTTTAATTATTCACTCTATGAAATTTTAATGAATCTGGCTGTGGTTTTTTGAAGGTTGAATAACATTATAACATTATCCACTGGATAAAACTCTATCTAGTGGATAACACAGTATGGTTTTCTATTACTTATCCTCTGGATAGCAATTTATCCATTTGATAGCATTATCTGTCCTTTATACAACTGGGCCCTGATATTCAATCTTTTTTCACTCATTTTTTACATGTAATATATTTAATTTTTACAAAGGGTCTTCTCCATGCAAAATTGGATCATTTTTATGCCAAAAGTGCTGCGGAGAACAGTCCTATATTTCAGAGTTACATGGTAAGTGTTATTAATTCTGTTTACACATAACAAGTGAACATTACTTTCATGCAGTAATGACGATAATGTGAGAAATTTCAAATTCACAAAATTTAGAATCAGGTGCATCAACAGACAAATTTGTCGTGGCTTCAAAAAAATGTTCATGTAGTAATAATTTAACAATAATAAATTTTAGGGTAGGAATCTTGTCATGAGATGAAATAAATATAAAGGTTCACCTAAACCCACCAAGAAGTGTTGCCTGCACATAATTATGCTTCTTCTGCTTTAGGTCTTGTTTGTAACAGTCTTGCGCCATGCTATGGAACTCTTATTACAAGAGTCTGCGAATAGGTAAGTAACAATTTTTTTCTGTCTTGAAAGTGTAATTGCTTGTAATACGCTGTACAGTATATAATTATGTGAATCATTTAATTGTAATCAATGCTCTCAGTACCTTTTTTGAACTGAATTTCTCAGTGGTAAGATGATATCATATGTGATTTAATATGCCTGCATGTATGTTTACTTTAAAATGTAGTGGAACTAAAATTGGCTTCTCTTATTGTGTGACTTAGACTGGATGACAACTGTGTAAATAGTTTACTTACAAGCCGTACAGAACCTCTGAAGGTAAAATGAACTGAATTTACATCTGAGATATTTCAGATACTTTTCTCTCTTATTTCTATCTACTTATGTTGATGTTTTTTTTAGAAATGAATTTTTAAATCTTTAGTTGAAATCTACTTAAAAAATAATATGAAGTCTTTCAAAGGAAAAGAAAACCTAAAAATGATGACACTGTTAATGGTGACAATGTCGAAGGGGGTGACGATGATGATGATAATGATGATGATGAATTATTTTACCACTGTCCAATAGAAGTGGATATGGACATGCATCATGCAATATAAGTGGATACTTGACATGATAATACAATGAAGCTGAGAAACATTTGTTACATGACTCATCCTATTGTGGAACTCATAGACAAGTGTATACGTTTTACTTTCTTTAGCCACTTTACTTACCCAAAGATGCTTCAAAGCAGTTTTTACCAGTAACAATTCAGGTGAGAGAATGAAATTTTAGTCAGACTACCATGTACATTTATCTATACTAAGAAAAAAAATAGTTTTAATAAATGGAACAAATACTAAGGTCTCATTAGTAAAATAGTACACTGTTAGGTTCAAACACTAATACAAGCTGTCCTTTCTAATTTTTAGGCTGGAGCATTGAGCTCCAGGTCGTTGACTTTACCAGAGAATGTTGACACCAAGGAATTGAAAAGAGCAGTTTCCTTCTTGATGGACAACATTGGTTTTCTTAACACCACTGGAATTTTCCATGTTATGTTCCAAGTAAGCTTTCCCATTTTTTTTGTCTCTCTATTGCTTTGAAGTTAATCTTAACCCTTTAAATCCTAAGATCTCATTAGTAATTCTCCTTACTGTCTGCCATACAATTGTTATGATGTAAATTTGGAGAATTTGGTATCAGATCAACTAGCACTCCCCTAATTGATATTTTACTTTATTCTCGTCACTTCTGTGCTTGATATTGTATTGATATTGTAAGGAGAGATTCTCTCTTGGTCATTCATGGCGGTAAAGGGTTACATGTAAGTATCTAGTCATGACATTCTGGCAGTGTAAGGCTCATCTTCTGTTCAAATAATTATGTAGTGTTGCATTGTATTTACCTCTTCTAGCTCATGCAATGCGTGAAACTAGCAGAACTTGCCCCAAATGTGAGTTGTTATTTTTGTCTATTAAATATACTTGAATCAATATTATAGACAGTTGTTGTAGATGCTGTGCACCAACAAAGTGTATTTTTATATTAAGTACGAAGTTATATGTAATTTGCTTTTCTCAACTGAGTTGATAATTTGATTTGCCTTGGTAGAGAGGTTCTGAAGCTGACATTTAGAGAATTAGCCCTTCTTCAGAGCATTTGTCATCTTCTCGACATCTATTGTTAACTCATCAACATCTTCACTGAACTCACCTAGAGTGCTATAGGTCAGCAAGTAAACATACAAAAGCAAAGTTACTGCTGAGCAGATGGTCATAATTCTTTTTATACTAGAGGCAGCTCCATAAATTATTACACTGCTAATAGCAGTCAGCCCTTTGCTTATGGGCAGTTGAAATAGCTGTGACCCAAATTAAATCCTCAGTTAATTTGATTTTTAATATTTTATTTGTTTTCCTTAGATGTTCAAATCACAGTTTATTACTTGGGTTTCCACAACTGATCTTTCTGTTTTTCATGTTCTACTTCTCTTAAAGGTAAGGTACTAAATTCTTGAACTGTTTCATGCTCAGTTACACCAAATTTTGGTACTTGTATTAAGTACATGTACAGTACTTACATTTATTTCATATTACTGAGATTTACACTGTGAAGTACTTTCATTTGTACTTTTGATTGGACGAATGATGTTTTTTCACAGTCGTTCACCTCCAATCTTTGTATTGAGATGTAAAAAATAACTCAGCATATACATGTCTGAAATAAAAACATCATACCATGGTTGGTGCTTGAACGATTTTTCTTCACTCAGTGCGATGCAACAACAAAAAACGCACTCCTTTGCTGCGCTTACTCATTCGTTTTTTTGATGCATTGCAACTTGTTAATAAAAATTGTTTGTGCTTACTTTCTATGGAATAATCTCAGTGTATTTCTTTTACTTCCTTGTGCATGGCTAATACAAGTAATTTCATTGTGGTGCAGCGCGGCTGATAGGATACAACAAGAAGTTCCTTTCTTTTAGCTGTTTACCATCTAAAGTACTTGTCATGCCTAAATTATCTTCAGATTACTCGCTTGAAGCCTATCCCTCATATCATTTCTTACAATTTTTCTCTCTGGTAGCTTAAATTTTCAGATGATTTATTCTTGGAAGGCGACGAACTTCTTCTTCTTCACAGGTAAAGTCCGTCAGTTGTTGGAAAATGTTTGTGCAATTACATGTTCAGTAGACTGCTTATTTTGTTCAGCCCTTAAGGAAAAACGTTAGAAAAATTTTAGGAAGGGGTAGTAAATTTACAGTGTGTGTTTGGTGAAATGGAAGAAGAGTTCATATCTTCCCGTACAGTGAAATGATGTGAAGATTATATGAAATAATTCATATTTGTACTACAGAAGTTTTCCGCGATACCGGTGCGATGCTCTACCAACTGAGCTATGAAGCCACACATTGGGAGCGAGGTTTTATTGAGTTCATATCTTCCCGTACAGTGAAATGATGTGAAGATTATATGAAATAATTCGTTTGTCTCGTTTGATAACCCGTGACCTCCGCGATACCGGTGCGATGCTCTACCAACTGAGCTATGAAGCCACACATTGTGAGCGAGGTCAATTTATTGAGTTCATATCTTCCCGTACAGTGATGTACATCGCATGACTATATCGTGAGACAAACGAAAAAACTTAGCTTTTATTGTTATACACCACGATAAATAACCACAACCTTTTTTACAGAAATTTTATACAGGCTTAAGATCTAATAGCAGATGTACCATTTTATGAGAGCTTTTTTTTTTAACACTAAGAAACTAAATGCATTTACCTTTTTAGAATGTTGTTGGTGTCGAGTCAGCCCACTCTGGCACAAGGTCAGCGGTTGTTGTGTTTTGAGTGGCTTATGCACTTTCCCACTGAAGAGGTAACTTTGAGTCAGTCAATTAGTTAATTAGTTGATTAGGCGAAGATCGTTCTCACATTCACTTCTTTATCCGCATTCACGTAAATTACATTATTTTCGTAGATCGACAGTCATTCATTTACCGCTTCACGGATTTATTTGAAACCAACATAATGACCAGCTTCCAGTTGGCCTGCTAGGTCAGTTGCTAGAGCACTGCACCTGTATCGCAGAGGTCATGGTTACAGGCCTTATTTTTTCAGGCCTTATTTTCAACTTAAGTTGTGTTCATTACTGCGAAGATCGCTCTCACATTCACTCCTTTATCCGCAGTTCACATATATGATTTTCATATATTCACAGTCATTTATATGTATACTCAATGGTCTCCAACTGTCTGATAACGGAATTGTAATGTATTGTGCTTTTTCAGGACACCCTAATTTTACAACCAACCGTTCCTCACTGCTTGGATTATTCACAGTTTCGTTTCTTTTACCCGTCTGTGTTCGATTCTGTAGGTGAGTCTTGTCTTCTACTTAAGTTCGACTCTGCAACGATTGCTGATATTTTCGGTATTCCATGAATAAATGGTTGTACCAACTTTTCAGGTCTTATTTCAACTACTAGTTCAGTAGTGTTTATAGCTGCGAACCCAACTTAATGACCAGCTCCCATTTGGATTGTTAGCTCAGTTGGTAGAGCGCTATACCGGTATCGCAAAGGTCATGGGTTCAAATCCCATACGGGCCTGAATTTTTTTCAGGTCTTATTTCAATTACTAGTTCATTAGTGTTTATAGCTGCGAGGATCTCTTATATTCGTTTCTTCACCGCAGTGCACACATGATTTTCATATATCTACAATCATTGTTGAGTTGAAATCCAGGATTACGATGACGTTTCGAGCGTTAATCCCGTCCGCTATGGTCCTTGATCGATCGACAAAATGTTGCGTTAACCTTGGAACCAATAAGATGTTTCTCGTTTTTTTGATCGTGACACTCTGGGATTCGTGCTCCTCATTCTGCCAAAGTTCCGCCCGGCGCGCTAACGTCAGGTCTTAATTTCACTTGTTATTTTTTTTTCGCCGAAAAGCAAGGACTACTCTTGGTCTATACTTTACGTGGTCCGTGGGCTCTAGCAAACGTCTTTGCATTCTTAACAGTTTTCAGTGTGTCCGCAAACGATGACACTGTGTTAGAAGGCAGTAACTCTTGATGCACAGTATTCGTCCAAGCGCAATCCAGATGAAACGATTTGAGAAAAGAGAGATTCAAGAGACTGAAGTTTTGCCAAGACAGACAATCATATTTTGCGATAACAATGATTTCCGCGCCAAAACGCAGAGGGAGAGGGGGGAGAGGTGGTGGGGGAGGTGGTGGGGGTAAGACCCCATAATATCCTTCCTACCCATCGGCTGCTACGTTATTAAAATTTATTATAATTTTTTTATAACATCATTTGCGTTGTTTCTCAGGATATTTTGTTACCGTCTGCTTTGCCCGTCTTAATTTCAGTAGAACTAAATGCTTTCAATTTTGTTGTGCTCTTCAGATGTGACAGTTGATAAACTCAAGGTTCTGTGTCTATGCTTGGATCATGAGACATTACATTCATCAGGTACCAAAGGAAATAGTTGTGGGATGTCAAATTTCCGGCAAATTTGATTTACTGGGAGGGAAACTTGAAATCAGTATAGCATGTTCGTCAAGGGAATGTCAAAATGGAAAACAAATATTCCATTGCTTTTTCCACTGCGATCACTGATTGGTTAAGAATTCTTGCGCGTCTTTTAACTCGTGTAGTCCCAGGACTGAATTCGTGAATTCGTTACATGTTTATACTGTGAGTTCCTCTGGTGATGTTTAATGTTCTTCTGATTTGCCGTTGGGACTACATTGATTTTAATTTTAACGAAACTACATCGAAAGGCGCTCGATGCAGGTGTCACTTTTTTTTCTATGCTTTATTTTCTTAGTCTCTGCTGGTGTCCCATTAATGCAATGCCTAATGCCACTTCTTAAGAGAGTCCGTCAGGGAATCGGAGGCAAGACTGTGGTAGCACTGTTTAGAATTCTTTTCTGGTATTACAAACATCACTGGGACTCGGAGCTTGAACGTGAAATTTACAAGTGAGTATCAAATGTGTCTTCAACGCAGCCTAATCCCTAGGCGTTCACTCTTGTCTCATCGTCTGCCAGTGAAGTCTGGGAAGAGGCAAATGAGAATTTCGATGACGTTGCGGCTCTTACTGGGATCCAGGTTTCACAGAGTATAGAACTGCTAGCGCCTGGCTTTATGGGAATTAGTGTGTCAATTTTACTTGTTTAAAATGGTTGTCTTTGCAGGCTAGTGTTGTCAATAGTAACTGACCACCCACAGTTCATACCTCATACTGTAGATTTGCTAAACTCAGTTTCTGCCATAACTCCAGACAGGTTAGTACAATTGCGTTGCACCATTCTGCCATCTACAGCTGCATGTGTGCAGTCTAGTGTCTAGACGTTTCTTGGGAGATGATCACTCTCACCCTAATACGCTTCGCGATTGGTCTAGGAAATTCTTACCTCCCTCTCAACCAATCAGAAGCAAAATATAAACCAATCTCAACTTGGTTACATGCGTTTCCTGCGCTTTGAGTAAATGACTTCTTTTTACCTCTCATTCACCCCTCGTGATATTTTCCTTTGTGCTGATTGTTTGTTGCCATTACCGTGTTTTTTTGTTTCGCAACGCTCAATCGAAATTTGTTCCGTTGTTGTTATTCCTGTTTTAGTTAGTTTAGGTGATTTGTATCTGTGTCTTGATATTTGCTTGTGACAGTTTTTGCTCATCAATAATTCACGAGTTATTACATAGATAAAGTTCCCTGACCTAGCTTCATGTTTTGGTCCACTCTTTCATGCATGTGTATCGAACGATCTCTTGCACAGATTTTCAAACTACTTTGAAGAGGTTTATAAGTTTGTTTAAAAAGTGCAATTTATTGTTGCCCTAATTCGAATCCCAAACGCCAATTACCTTATTTGTCGTAGTTATTAACAGATCATCTTAATAATTATGATATCTATGTTTTGCCATTAACAGTAAACTTCCCACCGATTTACTGCGATCTCTGAGCGACCATGTAGTGTCGCAGCCAGTGGAGTCTGTTCTACCAAACTTAACGCATCATCTCAAATTACTTTCCCTTGCAATGAGAGGTTCAGATATACAACCTTCAGTAAGTAATGTAATTTGTTGTTCGCCTTTGAACATACCTAATTTGAACGGTTTAAACCCAGGATTACCGGGAAATTGCTACGGCAGCGAAGCCTGGAAAGGAATGGAAGGCGAGGGCTTTGTCGCCAACTTTTTCATCGAGCCCTCGACACTGCCTGCTACTAATACTATTTCAACGCGAGAGTTCTCTTTTTTCAAGTAATGACACCAGTTCTGTGTTTGTTGTAGCCAACCATGCGTTTTTTGATTCAAATCCTTGACAAAGCGGATATCGCCCGCAAGGGCGACTGGACTGTTGGAAATTGTGTACTAGCTGTGTGCTACAGTATTCTTTTACATCATAATTCGAGCTCAACAATTACAGGTAATTATTTTTGCAAGTGTTATTTAGTAATTGGTTTGGATGGACCTGTCGCTGTGTTTTATTACCTTATCTGTTCATTAATAAATTTTGTCAAAAGTGACACTGTATTATATTTTAGGCTCAATTATACACCTATTTTGATTGGTTATTACCCATAATCTACAGGAAAACAGACACATAATTGACGTCATCATTGACCACATTTTGTTTTTTTGTTCACCACCACTTCTTTGTTCTGACCACATTTTGAACAGACGCATGGTAATGTGAAATCTCTTTATTAATGAGACCTTCAGATGCTAGCGCGAGGGTGGAATTTTAATGTTTTTTCTGTTCTTTTTCTTTTTCTTCTTCTTAGAACTTGGCAATCTGTTGCTTTTTATATGTGCAACATACCGGGACATCGGTATCCTTAGTCACCTTTATAATGGCTTATATCTGACGAATTCGTCACTAAATTACATGTCGAGTAATGTGATGGAAGCCTGAAGTCGACTTGTGTCTCACGTTCCTCTTTGTTTTACAAAAGTGTCGAATTATCCTCACATTAGAATATTACGCTGGATTCTACAGAGGCGATGTAGCCGATTTTGTTTTGATCTTAATGTTTCCACAAGATATCAGAGACCATGCAAGATTTTACTACTGTCTTTTGACTAATGTATCGAGTAAAAAGGTATGTAAACAGAATAAGTGAATGCGAGCTTTTGGATTACTTTATGCGCCAAGAAGATGTTTATTTTTCCATTTTTTCCTGAATTACGTGGATGGTAAACTTACTGAAAATGTCATAGCAGGGTTAGTGTGCAACGGAAACTTTTCAGCCTCAGCCGACACTTTTTGAAAAGTCTGTCTGTGAAACACATGACTATCGAGATATTGTATTTCAATTTCAAGGACTAACTTCAGGGTAAGGGAAAATAGATAGATGAATTGTAAATAATTGGTAACATGATAATCAGCTTCGAAGATAGAATGTAGTTGTTAGCTGATAATCTTACTCCTTTGGTTAATTCTTTCTTTTTTTTCGCTAGTTAAGTGTGATTGAATTGTTTTTGCGGCTTATCCAGTGTTTCTTTCCCTTATTTTTTTGAACAGTGTTCCAAAATACTAACCTCCGAGACAGCAAAGCAAGGTCTTCCTCATGTCATCGCTGGTAAACATCGTTTCTTCGCCCGTGTTGCTCTAATGTTATTATAATTATTGTATCTGAAGCCACATCTATCCCAACGAGGGTAGACATTGACAGCCAAAGCGAAAGTCACACCCTCATGAGTCATGTGTGGGCAGTCATTTGAATCTGTTGATGGCTTTGTCAAAACCCAGGTCATTGTCACTGATACCAGCCCTCTTTCGACTTCACTCATACGGACGAATACGTATAGGTCATAACATGATTTCGAGTGCAATATTTGGTGTTAATGAGCACGAGTAACTTTTTCAAAGGCAACAAAATTGCACTAGCCCGTCGGGCTCTTAGTGCAAGAGAAATCTTGTGATTATTTGTGAATAATATACATGAAAAAACATCACAGAAAGTCAAGAGGTGACAAAATTTTAAAAGCGTGCGCGTGCCATTTGTATACAACTTTACACTCGTGTTACATGAGAATGTACTCGTTTTCAACCACTCAGGTGTGCGTAATTTTTTCATGTACATTTTCAGCACTGCAATTGTTATAAATCATGAAATACACAATTCTCTCAACTCTCAGGCGTTCTTCAGTTTACAAAAACAAAAAACCAACAAAAACTAAAGACAAAGATTGAAGTAAACAAAGCAAAATAAACGAAACAAAATAAAACAGAAATAACGGCAAACAAAACAGAACAATGTACATCTAGACAAATGAAAACAAATTAAACAACAAAACAAGGAACAAACACAGATATAGTTCTCTCATTTTTTTAAACGTTCCATCACTTTACAAAAACAAAACTAAACACAAAATAAAACTTAACGTGAATTCTTAATTATTGTTTTTCTTGATAATTTGTCCCCAGATGATATCACAACCAGCACATTTCCCGTTCCTCCTCCGGTAAAACACATCAGTTCGCCTTTTCTCAAGCTTACAAGGTAAAGAATCTCGTCATCTTGTTTCCTCTTCACGTAACAACAGAGCAAATTGGGTTCTTAAGAATTCCTTTCTAACTTCCACGGGATACTCTGACTTCTTCACTTCTACTCTATGTCTCACGCTCTTGACAAAACGATCCACATCTTTCTCAATTCTTTACACCCTAACATCCGAATACATATTTTCCATACTCTTCCCTATACATTGCTTAGGTACTGACAATAGGAATTTCTTCAACAATCCAGAGCTTCTTCAGTTGGTGATTATCTCCTTTGTTCTCATGACTTTATTGTGTAATTCAGGGCTAATATTGTAAGGAGAATTTAGATGCTAGTCTCTCCTAGGAATCCAAGGGTTAATCCGATAACCGAACTCAAAAGTTACCATCTTTCTTATTCGACTTAAACACAAACGCATACCACACAGCTGATCCTAACAGTATGCAGGACACCTATCACAAGTGAACCGTGGACATATGGACGAGCTCGAATTCGAGATTCTTCCCCTTCGTTTCACCAGTCCGCTTCTCTTTGCGGCGCCTTTGGAAGCAGACTCGTAGGATTACATTTCATTCAGCGTCTAAATTTCAAACCCACTGTTGGTTTTGTAGGTGACTTAATTTTCCTCCTTGAAATTATGATGGGGGCATTATTGCAGAGGTCATGTTGTTATTGTATTAGAAGACCTAGACAAACCTGTTTTGAGAAGTTACGGAAAACGAGAACGTAAAGTGGTTCGGGTTCTTGTTAGGATTGTTGACAACAACGGGAAAAAATGAATAGTGTCGTGTTTCTTTTCCTTAACAGGGTCCCACGGCCAAAATTGGAAGGCTCCCTGACTGATTTGAAGCTTTCAAACCATGGCGAAGCTAAGGAGTTCACCACTACAAAAGGTGTGTTTTGTTTTCTTTGCGTTACTACGGGTTGGTGTGTCTTGTTCGCCGAAATTTGCAATTTGAAGTTTCGCAATGTCTTAATTATTGTACAGGTTAAGCCTTTAGGTTTGAGTTGCGAGCAAAGAAGGTTTTTTTTTCTGTTGTGCTCAGTATCCTAGGTTCCTGAAAACGGATGCAATGTGTCTGCAAGACTTCGTAGAATCTCTTTTTTTTTTTTTTTTTTTTTTTTTTTTTACTGAAGTTGTTTACTGCACTTTTCGATGGTTTGTTTTACAACAAAAACCGAAGCAGTTAAAAGACTCACAGTGAATCACAGGGCGCCAATGAGAACTCATATGCGAAACAAGGAAACTGCCTTAAGCGCGGGAAAACGCGAGTGACCAAGTCACATCTCATTGGTAGAGATGGGCACGGTTTTTCTTGACCAATCACAGTGTGATGGAAAGGATTACTTTCGACACATAATTGAGAATCGCTCTAATGCGAACGCTGGATGTAATTTGTTCCCTGAAAAGTCATGGTCCTTATTTCATCGCTACAGTGTGGTCGTGTATGTTGGATTTAAGCCGAAGTTGCCAATTTCTGCTCCATCCATTATTTTTCAGGTCTGTTAGATCATTATCTCAAGATGGTCGACGGAAATGCCTATGGTGAAGAAATCCCCATAAAGTATTATGTCCACTTTGTGAGTATTTGTATTTCTCAGTTAAGAGTTATTCAAGTTTGCACTTCCATTTTCTTCAACGATTATTGTTCTATAAGAATAATGTTAGGATTTCGAAATACGTTGCTTGAGAACGTTTTTCCATTGTGCTTCCAAATGATTGCCGAGAGACCTGTTTACATACTGGGAAAATATATATTTCATTATGGAAGGAATGAGGACTTCCTCCTAAACAATGACTTTCGTGAGATTGGAGTCGATGATCGGGATCTTCAGCAAACCTCGAAGGCGACGAGAACGAGGACGCTGCAAAACAAAAGATCTAATCAGTGGAAAAGTAACTTAGTGCGTGCGTTTGAAAGTGTGTACATTTCTTAGCCGTCCTCTGCAAAACAACGGGCACCTTAAGCAAGCCACGACGGCGACGGCAACGAGGACATGGAAAAACAAAAGGTCTAATTGGTAGAACAATAGCTCAGCACGTTCGTATTAAAACTTTGTACATTTCTTAGCCGTCCTCTGCAAGACAACAACGTGAAATCACCATAACTTGCGTCGTCTGCGAGCCGAAACCGCGACGGCAAATTATTTCAATTTCCATTTGGAACTCAAAACTTCTTTTATATGCTATGTTGAAGTTGAGGTGTGGCGCCGTATGAGACAGTAATCAAATGCAGCCATTTTTAAAATTCTAATTAAAGGCAGAAATTCATTTTTTAATCAAAGTCTTCCTTGGCGTTGCCGTCCTGACTGCCGAAGGTCCCTAACAACGTGGAATCACCAAACTTAACTCGACGCTGCTTTTATATGTTTTGCTGAAGTTGGAGTGAGGCGCTGCAAGAGATAGTTAATGGTTCCAGCCATTCGCGAAATTCTAGCTGAAAAAATAATTTTGTTTTTGATTGACTTCTTCGTCGTCGTTCCCGTTCTTTCAATTTTAGTTAATTTTTTTAATAAAATATAAATGGAACTGTGATTATCTCTTTCAACAGACAGATTCTTCGACTCTACCTATTCCAACGATTATCTATGCTTTGGTTCTGAAATTTCACACTGACAGAAGATACAAGCAACTCAAAGGTTGGTTGTTCGTTGCAGTTGTTTACAACTTCTTGCATCGTTTGACTCCTCTGCTTTGGTTTGACCAAATCAAAGGAGTAAAATAGACAGGGGAGGGAAAATTATTTCTTGGAGTCAATTAGAACTCAAGGGAAAGATATATAAACCGCCAGAAGCGCTAGTTGCACATGGGTTTAATTTTGCAGTGATTGCGTTAGCGGGTGTTCTGAGTTTTTAAGACCAATCTTAGACTAACCCCTGCAATCCCGAATTGCAAAATTGCTCTTAAATTTGATGTGTCTCTGTTTGTTTTGATCTCTCGTAATAATAAAATTGTGCATGTTTATAATGGACTTTTTATTTCTGTTTAGACATTCACATCTCATACTTATCGGCCGCTAAGTCGACATCTCCATCTGAAGGTGAGAGCTAATCGTTATTAAAATATACCTGCGTAGGCAAAGAGGCGTAGGAAACAAATGTCCTCACACGCAATTGGAATTAGAGAAGGGGGGGGGGGGGAGGGAGGGGTGGTTTCTTTGAAACACTAAATGCTCTTCATTTTTTTCCAGCTTTGTTATTGTGCTAGGCTCTGTTAAGCGTTACTTGGCTGTATTAAGTTGAACATTTTTCTTTTGCATCCCACAGGCTGTTATGTGATAACTGTAAACTTTTGCCCTCTCGATCCAGTACCCGCCGTGTTCAAAGTTAGGTAAGGTTTGTGGAAAATTGCAACTAAAAAGAACAGCGTAGCACGTGTGACTCGTTTTATACGATTGAGCACAAGTTTGAGTAGAGAATCTTACTTTGATATATCTAATATGTCGGCGGTTTGTAACCATTTATGTGACTTTCGGGTTTGTTTTGTTGCAGCCTATTCAACATAACCTTTCCGATTTTTAGATGATAAGTAAGAAAAGAGTTCACTTTAAGTGATCGATGCCCACAAAGTATGTTAAGGGGGGTGGTTCGATTTTTCTCATCCTATTTTCAAACTAGTTTACTAAACAGCCCCCACTGAAGATGTAAAGAATAAAAACAAAACAAAACAAAACAAAAGGATTGAAGTCTGTCTCGCAACTGTAACAAGCTTAGGTGGATGCCAACGCAAACTATACAGTTTTTGGACCGTTCTTTCCCACTTTTATAGGTTATTAAATTGGGCACCCGCCTACAATGGCAAAATTTAGGGTCTTAAAATTGCTTGATTTACCTCTATCACCTTAACACTTTACTCCCTAAAATATGATATTTATATTCACCACAATGCTCTCTTTACATTTTCTATGAGAATGACCAGGCGACTAATTTATTTGACAAGCAGGAGCTTGGTGATCATTTCCTTTTTTATCGTGACCTTAGCATTTGATTCAAGGGTGATACTGTGAAGAAAATTTATAGCCAGTCACTCTTTGGAATTTGAAAAGGGTTGAATATGCTTCACAACGAAATATTAAACTGCTACTCTTTACTTTCAGAGCGATATTCAGTGATGATAATGGTTTAACTAGTGCAATGCAACTGGAGAATTTGCCAGTTCAGTTTTGTGACTTGTTTAATCCTCTTCAAGTGCCAGCTTACTTCAAGGTAAAACGGGAGGGAATAATTGATGAGCACTGACGTAGTTTCGATGTATTTCAAATAGTGAACCGTTCAGTACCAGACCACAAAATTTCGTCTTTTCTTTCAGACTGCACCGGTAACGAGTGTCAGAGCAGAACTTTTCTCTGTGCTGTGGGATCACATAGTTAAAGTGCAGCGCACCAGGTATTCTTTACGAAATCATTGACTTCTTTGCCACAGAATGTTCCTCTAGTAATGGGTAACTTTTGAGATGAGATAGAGTTTAGTGTTTGGATAACCTTAGAGAATCCCCCCACCCCTAGCCTCCTCCACCACCCCATCCTGAGTGCTTTGACGAAGTAATGCAAGCACGAAGATAATCCTCTTCTGTTTGTTTGAAATTTGTCTAAAAAGTACACGCGAAATTAAGACATTACAAGTGTGGCTCTACACACTCCCAGACCAATGAGATCACTTGACCAATTAATCATAAAAATCACAATTTCCGATAAAAGAAGATTAGCCAAGTTATAAAAGAAAGGAAAAATTTACAATATCAACTGATGACTCTGTTAAACAATTGAAAATACGAATCAACAATGACAAGTTTGGGATCAATATCAGTATCAGGGCAACTGCCCACCTACCCCTCCCCTAACCCAACATTAACCTTAACTTGTTGTCATCGACTGTTGTTGAGTTAGGGGAGGGGTAGGTGGGCAGTTACCCAGATACTGATATTGATCCCAAGTTTGAACCACGTTACTACAACTCCGTGTTTTCATTTTCAAGTACACTTACGTGTAGGTTAGACTGATTATGCCGGGTTGAAAGTAAAAAACCCCCGAAAGTTAAGATGTAAATTAGGGATAAGCAATCTGAATCGATGAAGGTGTTAGTTATTAAGTTAATACTGCCACGGTTTAGGTTTCTAGTCTTAACCAAAAAGCATTCTGCGGATGAGATAATCCTACTTTTTATGGCATCTCTTCGGATAACTGTTTTTGTTAAATCAAAGCAGTCATGCATTTTTGTAGTTTTTTGTATTTTCGTCTTTCTTTCGGTTCAGTCTCACGTCGCAATGCCAATTTGTTCAATATGGTTCTTACTTATTCTAATTTTTCTCTTTTACTACTGGAATCTCAGTCCTTTAATTTGTTTGCATGTGATATTGCAGTGAATACCCCGCGGGGACTGGGGCTGAATCAATAATCTCCCTCTCGGTGAAGTGGAACACCATGGGAAACATCTTAGAGGAACACTTGCTACCGTTTGTTATGAGTGCTTCAGGTCAGTTTGGCTAGGTATAAGAATATTTAAGATTTGAAATAGTATATTTCTCCCTCGTTGTTCCTTTGCTTACTCCAGTTGTTTTCCCTTCTCTATTACCATGCGTTACGTGCTGTGTTTTTAACCAATGGCTGTTATTTTCCAGATGATGAAGTTCACCTTGGTATTTTCATGCCACCTTGTCAGCATCTTTTACTAAAATTCCGTCCACTAAACGATCTTACTGTTGTTACCATGGCGACTGATGATTGGCGGCTACTTCAACTCGTGGAATCTTACCTGCAACAATTCGAACACGTCAACAGATAACCTCTTCAGAAGATTTACTGTAAACTCATTTATTAAAAAACTAGGCGCCCAGACAGAAATAATTTCTTTATCGGACTTATACGTACCACGGAAAAAGTGTGGTTTAACAGCCGGATGATTTGATCAGCCACAGATCTCTGTTAGGGAAATTTGATTACTACCTCAAGGACATGTTGCACTGAATGAGCAAGCTACTGCTCTCTCTCAAGTATCTGGGATTTTGCAAAATATATTCAAACTTTTCAAAACATGAAAGGGTTAAGGAGTTTTACCAACTCCAGGAGATCGATCAACGCATGGGCTCTGTGTTCAAAAAAGTACGGAGTCTTAACACTGTTTCTGAATGTTTTTTGAGGAACACTTGTACCTGAATTAAGGTAATTTTATATAAATATTTTGGAAATATTTTGTCTTTAGAGAGAAAATTGTACACGAAGTACTTCTATAGAAAAAAAGGCATAGAGGCTAAGTCTACCAACCCCACCCTTCCTAACTAAAATTATTACACTTATGAAGGTTTAGTAAATAAACACAGACTTGATGTCGTAAATTTTTTATTATCTTCCTAGTGGTGAATGATTTATAGACCTAAGTTATAACTTCATGGCAACACTTCTTGTTTCCAGCCGTACGTAGCTTATTAAAAATTTCATCTCCCTTCTAATTGTATCCCAAGGTTTCCACTATCACACAGAAGCTGGAAAGTTGGTCGGTTTTATAGATGGGGACTAAACGGGTCAATTTTTTAAGTTTTCAGTCTGCATATATGCATGTTGTCCGAAACGTCAGTTATCGGAAGAAACGTACTGCATGAATTCGTTCTGATATTTAGCCGACATGGCGACCGGAAAGAAAAAGGGGTTTTGAATCATGACGTTGGTCACAAACGCGAATGATCACCTGCGCGGAAAAGGAGAAGGATTACAGTGACACTTCCCCAATTTTCTTACCCAACTTTGTGACTGTAGATGTGATCATCTTGCCCCGTAACAATGCCACCAAGCCCCCCTCCCCCGCCAAGTATTCTAGTGGTGGAAGCGTGACGAATCAAACAGCGGCTGTAAGAGACTTGACAATTACATCAAGTCACACGGAAACAACCAATAGACAAGAATTTCACCTTTAGTTTTACCTTTAATTGGTGTCGCTGTCTAGTTTGTTTGGCTTTTAAACTTCGATAACTACACAATGGATATTTTAGGATTTTTATTTGTGTGTGTGTGTGTGTGGCGAGCAGACACTGGCCACTGCCTTGCAGATATGTCTGGTTAAGAGAACGACGAGAGTTTTCTTCAAATTTCAGATTCAAGATGCTCTACGATGAAAAGAGGAGAGAACTTGAATTTAGCATGAAGGAAGAAAATTTTCATTTTCTTGAATGTTCCAACGATTGTCTCAACGCAAATTCATAGCTAGCGTATTAGTGTCTGGTAAAGATTGCAACCACTGGATACATTTTTGTCTGTAGTCCTGAGAATTACCCACCCTATTCAGGGGTGTTTCTTGTGAATATTTTTCACCGTCATTGTCTGTCGTAGCTGTTTTCTTCGAAGTATCTGTTTTTCTGCGAAGTAGTGACTTTCTTGCTTTCATGCCCTTCGTGGTTTGTCCAGTATTAGCCGTCCTGTTTTGCCCTCTGGACTGCTGTGCTTGTGGTTTAGCACTAGTGTCAGCAGTCTTCACCCCTATTCTATAATTCAAAGATGAACTCCTGTTGAACCATTCTGAATATCGACTGGGCAAAAATGTTAGAGCCTCGTCCGGCTTCCATTTCCCAGCACTCCCAAAGGCCCTTGTTCCCTTATTTGGTGTTTTACTTTCACTTGCATCCATCCGGGACACCCCTAAAGTTGTGTGCCGTCCATTTTCCCGCCAAATGTCTGCGCCGTAGGCGCTGTTGGCGGGTGTTTCGAAAGATACCTTGAGAAGGGGTAGCCCGTGGACTCCCTGTGATTCGCAAAGTGTGGTTCCAGTCTTTTCTGGGTCAGAGCTTCCAGATACTCTGCGAGGCTTAAATCCTTCGTCGTGGAAGTCAAGTGATATGGCGGATTTTTGAGCCAGTGCCGGCATGCTGCCGAATTTTCGTGTTAGGGGTACCGTCAGGCAGTCGTTTGACGTTGTCATTTCGAGACGAACAGAATGCACGAAACGGCTGGAACGAAAAAGCAATACTGTAATACACTGGAATGTTTAGTTTCTGCTCAGATTTTTTTCTTTCTTCTCAATGGAGATAGTTCAATCACATATAAACCCACTTTGCCATATCAATAAATTCCCTAGCATAAAAATAATGGGCCAGGACAACTACTTGGCAAGAGGCCGAGTAAGCGAGGGGGTGGGGAGTTAAGTTTCTTGGTTAAATCAACCGAGTTGATGATGTAAATTGGCTAACGTAATGTTTTTTTTAAAGCTGATTTTTCGAGCGTCAGACCTTCGAAACGCCAGCTTTAGAAACTTTTTATAGTGGCGACGCAGTTGATGAAACGGGAAGGGTTTCTCCCGAAATTAAAACTAACCGATTTTCTTGAACTTGAATAACGTGAATGATTTTTTCCATGAGAAAAGGAGGCATTAATTAGGATGTGACAATTCAACTAAAGAGGGTAACTGAGATCTCTTTCCCAAGACCTGCTCACTGTGAACTCAAACTCTAGAGTTTGCAAGATCTTGCAAGGCCACTTTATTTGGCCGACCTAATTTCGGAGGACAGCAGTATGTAGTCGTCAGGGACGTAGCCAGCTTCGACTTGCTGTAGGCCTGTACCGTGAGAAAGTTCAATTTCTGTCTAAAAATTTGTAATAGTTGTACTATAAAAGCGGATAAGTGGGCGGAAACAAATTGTAGGCCTGGGCCCTCAGGACTATGTGCAGGCTACGACCCTTGTCGTGAAGTCACGATTTATATCGGAAGTGATTGCACCCACAACCAATTAGGCCGTCATTAAATGCAAAAGGACTCTAACAAATGGAAACGAGGATTATGCACCGGCTGTTAGCAGCACGAAAACAGAAACGTGATATTTTTGTTGTATTTGTTGTCAAATTAAGAAAATATCAGGCCATGCCTTATACAATAAAATTGGCTTTGAGTTGAGGAAGGAATTTTAAATATATCCGGATAAAGGAGTTATGTCGTTTTCTGGAAAAATACTGAAAATACCGGAGAGTTTGTATCATACAATGTTCAACTCCATGTGTAAAATCCTCTCTTGTTATGTGTCATTCAGGTATTGCTTAATTATAAAGCTGTTTTGAAAAAAAAATTGTGTTATAAGATTTTTAAAAATGTTTTCGTTTTAAAATGTGTATAGTCTGAACTGTAATAGAATAACGATGTTAAAAGGTATTTTTTTAAATCTTTCAATCGCCGAATTTCTCGTACCGATCGAGTCTCTTGGTCAATCGCCACTCAAAAGACCTGTCACAGCCCTCTGTTTAGCATTAGAGTCGGCCCTTGATTTCGCTTTCAAATAATGACATAGCCGCCCAATGCACCATCACCAGCCGCTTATGGAATAAAAGTTATTGAGATCTCCGCATGCATTTTATTTATGGCCACGAAGATCTATTTGAATCTGAAATAATTTCATTCTAAGATCTGATGTATATTCAGTATTATCTTCATCCCACACATGTCGGTGTTGTGCGATATGTGTGGTGATGTTTATCGGTCTTCTTTGACGTAACTAAGAGCTGCTAAGAAAACCGTGACCGAACGTTTATCACAAACTTGAAGTCATTTTCATTCAGGCAGGTTTGAGTTCGAATAAAGTTTTCTTGTAATATCTAACTCGTCTTAACATAGATTAGCGCTGTTGTGATCAGTGACAATTTTTTTTCGAATCGTATTTTCCATGAGAAACGAAAACAAATCATGAAGTTTGTCAACACATTCAAGCTGGTTGCTCGCACAAATAGTTCACTTAGCGAGCAGTTTTCCGACACCTTTGGCAATTTAAATTCGCACACATGAAAGAAGAAAACTTGATATTTCTTACCGTTTCTAAAAAACTGCTCCGCTAAACGAATTACTTCTTTACCCCTGCTTTGTGAAATTTCTGTTTGTGTATTTGGCAATCTTTTTGACTAAAGAACTCAGCGATTTCCTGAGAACTAGAAAGTTCCCATGCCAATAAGAATTGTTGCTCGCGCAGGTGTTTTTAAAGCGATTGGAAACCCATTTGTTAGTGCCTTAGACGTCAAATATCCTATTTTCGCGGAGGCGGTATATATATTAGGTTTTTAAATTATTTATTTAATGCATTAATGTCATTGGTAATTTCAATCATTCGTATACGCAAATAGATTCATTTTGTTTGTAATTTTCCCAGTTGGAAACTCTTCCATACGTCATAGGTTTACGGTCTAGCAGGGTTCTTTAAAGGAAATATTTTTTTGCGGTGCGTTGTTAATACGGAGGATTAAAGAGTTCATCCCGCAGCTAAGCTGCTGGATTCTTCACTACAATTCTGTCCCCATAGATTCAATTTCCGTTTCTATTTCGGTGGAAAGAAAGAAATATGGCTCTATTAAAAAAAAAGTTTGTTTTCCCTTTTTCCACAATTTCCAAGTACCTGGTGTCATGGTTATGTTTTTATTCGTTTAGCTTAAAATTTGAATCAGGAAGGAAATTTTTTTTCTATTTCCCTTTTTTTCTTTTCGTAAAATGCATTAAGCGTGGTGAAAGTTAGTTATTCCTTAGTTTTTCCGACAGTAATTATAGTTGTTAATTGGAAATGGAACCAGGATAACCATGAGATCGTCGCTGCAAAGAGAAAAAAAAAACACATACACACACACGGGGGAGTACAGAAGAATAAAATATCAAACAGATTAATAACAGAAAAAACGGAGCTGTCTCATTTCTTTGCGGCTCTTCGTTATTTTTTTTATTCTGAAGGAAAATCAATCATTGAAAATTTCATTCATTGAGATGAAAAGCATCTTAAAAGGTTTGCCATCAGTCGATGTTGAAGATGAAAAAAAAAATGTTTTTAATGCTGCGCTTCTGTTAAGAGTTCCGGTGCCTCCATATGAGCCAGCCGGTGTTTATATAGACCATTTTTCATGTAGTTAGATAGAATTGTTGTATTTTCATTTAATGGTCAATACAAGCTCTCGACTTAAATCAACAGGAAGTTGTCGAGTTTCTATTTTTATTTTACTGATATCTTGTTCATTGACGTGAATATAACAAGGCGCCAACCGTATTTCGTTTTAATTAATTTACTCCGCTTTTTTTTTCCGCTTTTTTGAACTAATATGCGAGTTAAAATTTATATTTGTTGACCTTTGCCTGAAAGAGGTATGAAGCGTGAGGCGGGACATGAACATTTCATTTGCAGAAGTCAGTTGTTTTCTCAAGAGAATTTTGCTATTTTCTTGTTGTTTTAACCCAGTTTTTGGTCCGCTTCAATTTCTGTTATTGTTTCGTTGCATTAGTTTATTTGTTTGCCTTTCTGGTTAATATATGATTAAAATTTCTGATCTTCGCCGACAAAATTCTCGTTGACTTATTTCAACGTTAATTTAGAACCCACTCCAACTCTTCCGAGCATATCACATTAAACTGAAGATGGTTAGTAAATTTAAATTGACAAAAAAAATTATAATGTCAAGTTTACGTTCATTTCATCTTCCTTGCACCATTTCCACAAAGTCCAATTGATTATTTACGTCAAAAAAAGGAATGAACAACTTCCATCAAGCTTAATGCAGTTAACGAATAAATTTACGCATTGCTTTTTAAGCATTAAGGTCACGAAAATAAGGAAAAAGGTTACCAACTAAAGCAGTCCTTGATCGTTCATCAAACTCTCCTTGTCAGCACCTTTGGAAAGGCATGGGGAACAGTATGGAGAATATACATACTGATGTTGGGGTGTAGAGGATTATAAACAAGCCTTAATTATACGTGTTATGAAATGGCTCGTCCGATCGAGTGGCGCTGCTATAATGGAGATTACACTATTAAAACAGACTGTCACAAGAGAGAGGGGAAAAACTCTATGGACTTTGAAATAAAATGTTTATAAAATTGATAGCATAAATCACCATAGACCCACATAAGCAGTTAAGGTAATCTTCATTATAAAAGCGGCACTCTCTTATTGCATATAAGCTTGATATTAAACGTATTTCACACAGCCCGCTGACGCTTACTCATTTTAAGGGACCCGTTTTTTTTTTCCTATTTTTTTCGGAAGGGATGGGAGGCAGGGTCACGTGGTTTTCAGGGGCAGCGGTGTGCGTGTCAATCCGGCTGCCAACAGAGCGCCAATTTGAAAGATAAATTTTTGTTCTAGAGTTTTGCCGCTTTTTCTTTTGGATATGTCCTTGTCTTTCCTTTCTACGTCGCGACGGTGTGCCCGGAATCGGTCACTCGGTCGTCTTCCTGTTTCACCAATGTATCCATTTTTTCAAAAAGTGCGAAAATTTGATATTATCTTACAAATCGGCCCTCTTAACCCCCACGGTATCAAAGAACGCTTTCCATTCAACTAATTTTTTTTCTTGTTACCACGTTCCCACAATAGCACCAATAGCGTAGCTCCATTTTCTGCATATAAACACAACGTACAATCCTCCATTCGCTCTGACAAAAGCCAACGCTCAAGAAGTCAGCTTTGAAACTCTTTACGGTGGCCAGTTTACGTTATCAACTAAGTTGATAATACTAAATTACCTTGTTACCTCCGTTATTAGTTCAACGAAATTATATATACTACACGAGCGTTAGCTGTGTTTGATTTTTATTACCTTAAGTACGCTTGCATACTAACTGAGTGTGAAAACCTTCACGACTCGGACTGTCCATTTCGTTTACTCCTTGAGGATTTTCTTCTCTGCTCACCTTATAATAACATCAATTACTACGCCTGGCATGTTTACAAACCTTTCTTTGGTTCCTCTGTTGTTATTTGCCGACTTGCCTGTTCCGAAATTTCACTTTCAATTAAAGAAAAAATATATATATATATATATATCTATGCATATTCAAACCTAAATAATAAGTAAGTTCTAACAAATATACGTTTAAACTGAGCTTTTGAAACTACTTTAGACAAAAATCCCCGCGTGAGGGCTGTACGCGATGGCGTTAGCAGGGCCCTAAAGAGCTGTGCGGCCCCGTGAGCTGGGAACTAAGGAGGAAAAGAAGAAAAAGAAAGATAAAATAACTAATGACTGAGTTAGGTCGGGCCGTACGGGAAAGTATTTGGCTCCCAGCCGTGAAGCACAGACCCCGCTGCGTTCTGTCTGTATGTCTTGACCTCGAGTCAAATATTTTCCCCTTCCAGCCCTCCCCCTCTGTCAACAAGTACACACATGTATTATTATATGGCAAGGAAATCCGATCGTTTTGATTGGTTCTTACTCGGTCCGCATTTTACCATATTTGTGTAAGCAAATCTGAAAAAGTTAAAATAAACAAGTTTGGTCCGGTCTGAGTGTCATATTAGTATATAAGTAATAACATGATTTCGAGTGCAATTTGGTGTTAATAAGCACGAGTGAATTTTTCAAAGATAACAAATTTGACCGTAAATTTTCGATATCTTGATTTTAAGAGTTTGTCTTCAAATCCATTTTTTAGTGAATCTTTGTTTGGCATGGAAATACAGCAATAAAATCGATAAATCACCATAGCCCCAAACGGCGAAAAATCTTTGCAAAAAGCAAACGGTATGTCATTTATAATCTTGACAGGTGACGAGACAGGTGCACTTGAGGGCAAAGTTTGCCAAAGAAACTAAATAGAGAACTAAGGTATAGACGCAACTATCTAAAACTTTTTCAGTGTCCTCTTTGAAAAGTTATTTCTAAACGATGTACTATTACGACTTGTTTGAGCAACAATGGGTTGTGCAACTCCTCAGTGTTAAACGTAATAGAGACCAGATAGAAATAGAGAAGAGTTCATATTCTCTTGGAACAGACTTTTCTGTGGCGAAAATTAGCATGTTTTTACCATTTTTTTTTTCTGTTCTCAACGATTTCAACATTTTTTTTTCAAGTTATTGCCGCGGCAAAAACAGAAAAGAAAATTTTCACGGATAACAACGTTGAACGCAGGATATTCTTATTCAAATGACTGTGAATTCATGAAAATCATAGATGTTAACTGATGATTAAGAAATAAATATGAAAGCGATTTTCGCAGTAATGAGAACTACTCGAGCAGTAGTGAAAATAAGGTCTGAAAAAAATCAGGCCTGTATGGGATTTGAAAACATGGCTTTTGCGATACCGGTGCAGTGCTCTACCAACCCTTAAGTTAACAAGCCAAATGGGAGCTAGTTATTCTGTTACCTCGTAAGAAACCCGTGAACTGATGAAGAAATGACTGTGAATATATGAAAGTCATATATATGAACTGCGGGCCAAGAAATGTTTATGAAAGGGATCTTCGCGGCTAATAGTGAACACTGCTTAAATTAAGTAAAAGTATGCTTATTCAGACGACTGTGAATATGTGAAAGTCACATATTTGAACTGCGGATAAAGACGTAAGTAAAAATATGCTTATTCAGACGACTGTGAATATATGAAAGTCATATATTTGAACTGCGGATAAAGACGTAAATATGAACGCGATCTTCGCAGTAATGAAAACTACTTGGGCAGTAATGAAAATAAGGCCTTATTTTCACTACTGCTCAAGCAGTGTTCATTACTGCGATGATCGCTTTCATATTCATGTGCCTATTCAGTTAGTAAAAATACTACAACAAATCTATTAGCACGATGTCATGATGTCTCTAAAATGTTCTTCAGGACTCTTCAATAATTACCTACGCATGCATCCTGACAATTCAAAATATGAACAACGAATTTGAAATGTCCAAAGTGTCAAAAAGTGGATTGGTTGCAATTAATTTGACTGGGTATCAAAGATTAAGCGTTTGTCAAAAATGATCAGATTTCAGACTTAAACGACTCAATGTTTCGTCAAATATATATTGGAGAGTCGTGCACTTTACTCAAACTTTGTTAGGTAGGCTGCACTTTGCTTTTGTGCTGATCGTGAATCGAAGGGCATGTACTCAGACCGTTGTTGCTTTTCTTATTAGTTTCGCCTTGAAGAGTGTTTTTTTCTCAATTTAAAGGAAAATGTAAAGGGTTTTTGGTTACACAAGT